TAAATAAGTAATTTTAGTTTATTAGGATATTTTGTTTTTGAACTATATCGTTCCCATACACAAAGACCTTTTGGCAAGATTTGGTTATCACGACCCAGGAGACCTTCATAGATGTTTTTCTCTTGATATATATTTCATATACGGGTAATTAAATGCACAAATAAATACCTATGCAATTATTTGAAAACCTATTTTTTGCTTGTAATTAATAAATTATCGCAAAAGTTAATTGTTTCAACTGTTATAAAAGATACGCTATAAAGCACACATATTATTCCTTAATTCATTCAATATTATCCGTGATACTGGTTAAATATAAACCATAATTGGCTGTAAAATAAAAAGGATAAAACAATTCAATGTCATTTATCATACTGTTCAATGCTTACCTGGGCTGCAATACACTATAGGCCTTGAATATCCAGCGTAATCTTACTAATTATTTTTTAGCATTCAGACAAGATAACTTATCAGGGCCCCGTTATCTTCACTATTCATAACTCATAAATCATGAAATATGATAATTTTTTTCCAAGATGTATTATTGTATTCCTTGTATTATTGTATCACTTTATATTAATGTAAAATATAAATGTGAATAGTACATTCAGATTGCCTAGTGTAATAACATTAGGCGACCAGCAGAGCAATAATAAATTCACAAAACACTGGTTCCTAAAATGTTAAATTGTCAAGAGTTCACAAAAAAAATTAAATAAATTAAAAATTATAACTAATAGGGTGTATAAAAAAAATGACCGTTTTATCAAAGTCAAGATTTCAAAATAGTGTAAATATTTTAATACTTAATAATCCATTTAGTGCATTCTCTAAGCTTGTTTAATTCCATTCGACTTCTTTAAAAAAAGCCTCAGTTTAGTTATTTGTTCCAAAAAAGAAACATGACACTGTCCTACAAAATACTCGAATTTTAAGGCATTACTGGAAAAAAAATTTCACAGTCGTTGAAGCAACTCGTGAAATTACTAAATATGAAGGGGAAGGTGTCCTTGACCAGCACACTGCGCGGCATTGGTTTGAAAAAATAGCAGTGGAGATATGACGTTGTAAAGGAAGAAGGGCTCCGAGCAACCAATAATGGGTATTGATGGGGTTCTGCAGGAAGCTGTTGAGTCAAATCCGTCCACAAGTACTCGCGAACCTGCCAGGGATTGTGGCGTGTTGAAAGATACTGTTAGTCGCCATCTATTCTTCATGGAGAAGGTGAAAGCAGTGAAGAGCAATAGACTGGTTTCTCATTAATCTACTCATCAGCAACCAGCTAAGAGATTAGAAATCTGTGAAAATTTATTGATAAATTCTTCTGATATGAGATTTTACCGGAAGATTGTCACCTGTGATGAAAAGTGGGTTTACTGGCGAAATCCGAATATCCGTGAGTAATGACTAGATCGCGGTAAAACTGCTTTTCCGGTTACTGCAAGGGGACAATTTTTAAAAAATCATGTTTTGCGTTTTTTTTTAAGTTTGAAGGTGTTATTCATCACTAATTTGTTCCTAATGGATGCTCTATGAATTCTGAACTCTTCAGCAAACAACTGGAAAGATTTTGCGCGAAGTTGTCAGAGCGTTATCCTGCTTTGATCAACCCAAAAGAAATTTTATTCCAACTAGATAATCCTCATACTTCCCGTCCAACCAAAGAAAAGTTTAAAGAACTTCATCGGTTCGAACTCCTACCTCATCCACCATATAGTCCAGTCCTCGAACCATCGGATTACTACTTATTAAGACCAATAGCCCATTTTCTTCAAGTAAAAAATTTTGTGAAAGTTGAAATCGCGGTCCAAGAGTTCTTTGACAGCCAACCCAAATAATTGTATCAGCGTGTCTAAAACTTCTTAATGACGGTACGTTGAGTATTAATTGTATTTTATATCAAAGAAATAATAATACAAATATTTGGTTGAAAAATGACCATTTTGCTTCCTCACTACCGAAGGTAGGGAAGCATTGTGTTCGTGCGAGAGATTAAAAAATTTTTTTTGCTCAGAATCGAAAATTTTCACTCGCGTTTTACGTTTCAGACATCAAGGATAAAATTTGGTTCGGTGTCTGTCTGTCTGTCTGTCTGTCTGTAGTCAAATCGATGTACCGTATCACCTAGTAATAAGGGCATATCACCTAGTACCGTTCATCCTATCTTCATGAAATTTTCAGGGATTATGTAGATGGTCCCATATCAATTTTATCAAATTCCATCCACCACTTCCGCTTACGCACGCGCAAACGTATATTTTTAGATATGCCAATATTTCAGAAAGGGCTTGTTCGATTTGGCTCAAAGTTAGATAAAAGGTAGACTTTGGTGAAAAAATAACGTAGGGTCAATTTTATTGAATTCTGTCCACCACTTTCTCTTATATATGCACTACTATTTTTTTTTTTTTTTTTTTTTTTGGTCCTTCCCTTCCTCGCCGTTAAGGCTATACGGGATTTTCCCGGGCCAGGGAGTGTGGGCGGGGATTTAAAAGACTCCCTCGGCACCGGGACGCGAACTCGTGACTATTTTTATATCATTAATTCATATGTCTGGTTGCCAGGCAACGGCGGTGCAGTGCACACGCTTTAGCCCATTCGGCTACCCCGCCCACGAATATATGCACTACTAGTCCGCTGTCCGCCGTCCGCGCATTGCCCTGGACCGATTTTTTTATTGGATATAAAATCAGAGGTCACCAGATGATCCTCCTTCAAAACCTCCGTTGCTATAGACTGTAGCGCCTAAACGAATGTACCGATTTTAGTGAAACTTCGCTAAAGTCATTTTCTCTACGCCCTTTAAATTTATCTATATAACATATTTCAACGAAAAGAAGCTCAAAAAAAAGTTACGAGGGATGGTAAAATTAAATTCCGAATAACGCAAGAAGTATACACATTTTTGTGAATATTATATATGGTTTTTTAAAGGTTTGCGGAATTTCCTAAAAAAAAAAAAAAAAAAAATCGTTAAAATCGGACAATTAGCAGCAAAGATATGGTCTCTAGTTTCTTTTCAGATGTGCTATTGCAAAAGGTTTATCTTTGGTTTTGATTTTTGAATGTCTTACTGAAGTAATGCTATGTTTTAGCATAATACTAATGATTATAAAAAAGTTTAGTCCAATAATTGGAATCACCTTTTATTTATTTTTCTTTATAACTAGAAATTTAATGTTACTTAATAATTGTTTGGAAATAATATACCATAGTGAAATAACTTACAGTGGATTTTTTTTTCAAATTAATTATCGTTATATATATATATATATATATATATATATATATATATATATATATGACTGAAGGGCTGAAGCCCCTTCCCCAAAATTAAATCTGGATTCGGTAATGTATATCACTATTATCAGAGCAAAAGTTCAAATGTAAAAATTTTCAACTTTAATTCTATGTGTATTAATGGTGACATTTTGTAGTCTGCAACTGATATAAGTAATCTGGTACTATGGAAAATAGCAGATAACAATAAAATATGAAATTATTCTAATAAAGCATAAAGAAATAATGAGTTTTTACGCACTCTTGTAAAACAATAAATAAATTTTTACGTAAGACCTTTTTCACTAACAGTATTGAAATTCATGTTCAGTATGCATTTATTTTATTTTTTTTTTTTTATTAAGCATAATCAAGTATGGAATCTTCAAATACGACACTCTTTTGTTGAATGTTAAAGGGTAACTGTAATCGGCTATTCCGATTCTGCTTCTCTCAGAGATTCTATTCTCATACGAAAAATTGTATACCTTGTAATATACAACGAAAACGGTGAGGAAGCTATACTGACCTTACTTGGCAGACGTTTTTTTTTTTACACTCTATTAATTGAACTAAAAAATAAACAGGTAGGTAGATGTGAAGAGCAATGGATGACCTTGATCACACTCTTTGGTTGCCCTCATCATCTACTAGTTTATCTTTGAGATAAATACTTCAATTTAAAAAAAAGACACACGGATGATGAATTCTTTTGTTGTTTTTTTAAATATAAAATTCGTGGTGTTGCAACATCCTGATTGTTTATAGTATGATTTGCAGTTCAGTAATTTATTTATTTCTAGGAGATAAGTGAATTATGTTTTTGTTTTAATTAAAATAATTGGACTTTTAAAAAACACTTGAAAAATCTTAGGATTTTTTGATAGTTGAAAAGTATTAAATATATTCTTGAAAAAATATGTATTTCCCAATTACTTTTTTAATGTTTAGTAATGTGTATATTTATCAAAATTTTCCTATTCCCTTTGAAACCAAAAGATTTTAATATTTGCCAACAAAAACGTATTAAATGAAAAAAAAATTGAGATTATTTTTTTAAGAAAATAGACATTCAAATGTAATTGTGATAATTTAACCTATAATCAATTAATTTAATATTATCTCAAAAATAAGTTTGAGATTTTACTTCATCAAAAAGAATATCTGAAATTTCAATATATATATGAATATACCAAAATCATGAAAGAGGTACTTGATGTACCACAGAATCACAGATAAAACACATAAATTTTCTGAATAAATGTTACATTTTAAAATTTATAATGTATTATTTTTAATAGATAAATTAAAGCAGTAATTTCTTTTAGAAAATATTTAATTAAATTTTCTTATTTGCTGGGCTACAATAAACCTAGTTTTGAACAAGTAGTTATTGATAAATTGATAATTGATAAATATTTTCTACATTTTTGTATACAGTGTATATTTGATTAAATATGGTAAGAAATTAATTTAATTTTTTTTTAGATTTATCAACTTTATTATAAATATCCTTATTATTTAGCTTATAATAGCATACATTATAACAAAATATTAGTTCACAGCACTTTAATTTACATATTAAATTGTATCTGACAGTTAATCAATATTTTCACAGTGCAATAAATGCAATATATAAAATATAAATATCTAAAATAAAGCAAAATCATATAAATTAAACTTTTTTTCTCTCAAATAGAGACTTAATACCAAAGTTTTCATCAGTCTTTTTTACTTTTTGATCTCCTTGCTTTACATATATATTTAATGCTTTTCCTTAAGAATAATACAGCCACAACTATGACTGCCCCCCAAACTACAATCACATCAAGGAGCAGATATTGGTACCAAGACAGTTCTACAGCCGCAGATCTCAGGTGAGTAGCTCCTCTGTGCCGAAGAACGTACTCCACCCAGTATATTGCGTTATCCATGACACTTAGAGGTTTATCCTTCATGATTTTACTCCTTATGAGGGCATTTTCTTTATAACTGTAAATATATTTATAGTTTATTATAATCATTTTATTACAATTTTAAAACACTATTATATATAATAAAAGTTTATAGCTCACGATGAATTTGTCAGTATCTTGTTAATAGCATCCAAGAGGATTCCTTCAGTAACAGTATTGAGATCAACATATATGCAATAACCAGCCTCTTCACAAAATTTAATATTGCTCGTTTGATCAGCAAAAAGAGGAGTTCCTATGATAGGAACACCATGATAAGTTCCTTCTAAAAGTCCATGAAGTCCACCATGGCTGACAAATGCTCGGACATTGGGATGACCTAAAAAATAATAAAGAAAAAGAAAACATGTAAAATAAAATAAATAAATAAAACATCAAATAATGGCAGTGAAAACATTATTTTCAGCCTTATATGTAGTAATAATAATAATAAGTAACAGTACGGTTATAATGGTATATTTATTTTCATGTATTTTCAAAGAAATAATTGGCTGTTAATGATAATAAGCAGTTAATATGCAAGCCTGATGATTCTGAGAACCAAGATGCAGTTATTTTCTATCTACAATTTTATTTATTTAGTAAATATTTATATTAACTAATAGTTGACTGAAAAGTACATATTTTTTCTTGAGCATAACTTAAAATTGTGTTTTCAAAACAATCAAAGGACATTCCATGAAACTTTGGAAGGACATTAAAAGAGTTAAATTAAAAAAAAAAAATTTCTGAAATAAAAAAAATAGGAAAAATCTTTGATTGGAAGGAAAGCTTGTACATCTTTATAAGCCTTTCTTCTTCTAATTGGATAATATTAGTGATTTTTTAGTTAGTAAAGTTTTACTAATTTGTCCTTCTTTTTTATTTCACTATGAATTCTTCCTAAGAATCTCCAAACAATTTTTCTAAATAGCTAAAGTGACAAGTAGAGATAGTGCAGCAATAGAGAGAGATGGTCTGGTGTAGGCAGCCATAGTTGTAGATATATACAAACCCTAGTTTTGGGAATGATATAGTACAACCCCATACTAAGATAATTGAAGCAATAAATGCTCATCTTTCTGAACAATTGTTTCTTTGTAGTTAACTCATACATATATCTATTATATTTAAAACATATATTTTAACTGTAAGGAGGATAATTACCTAGTATGCTAGCTTGTGGTACCCATTTGGCCAGTCTAACATTATCAGGTTTCCCCGGCAGGGTATCTTCATCTGCTTTCATCAGCACTCTTTGTTTTAGCTTTCCGAATGCTGACATGAAAGCAGCGAGTTCATGAGGCCTCATATTTTCTGTTTTGTAAATAGATCCCCAGCTGAAATATATTACTCCATCTACAGATTCATTCAAATATTTTCCCCATTCCTAAAACATTTTTATGACATTGGAAAAGAAAGTAGGAAATTGTTAACTTAAAAATAATATGGCTTTTCAATTTTGTCAACTATTCAGAATGGTTTTTAAAAAACATGTGAAAACATGGGAAGTTTTATTATTTTTATCTGTTAAAATAATTTGAATTTTATATATCAGTTTAATTAAAAATTGAAATACCTTAGGCTGTTTCTACAGTGACAAAATAGGTACATTATAATTTCTTGGAGATATTTAGAAAAATGATCTTAGATAAATATATTCAGGGTGTTCGGTACCTAAAATTTCACCAAAATTTTTTCATATAGTTCTCACACTGATTTTTTATTTTGGGTAATTTTGTGAAATAAATTTTCCCTTACTCACTTATATCAGTGTCATTTTTATTTCACAGTATATGGTTTCATTTAACGGAAGGACTGATAGCTAGAAACCATTTTAAATTATAGATAATCCTCGCCTAAATACACAACTCTGGTCAGTAGCTTTAAAGCAGTTGCTTAAGTAATTTTTCCATACTAATAATGTTTTTACTCAATTAGAGAAATTGTAAACTCAACTTAATTAATATAGAGTAAAGCTCATTAAACAAGAAAGATTTTTTGGAAGTGTTGTACCTTCTGTTCAGTTGGAAACTTATAAAAAATATCTCAAAGAATCCTTGACTATATGAAAAACCGAACTTATCGAAGTTTAACTGCTTAAAAGTTTTCTTTAAATGGTTTTAAAATAAACAATATTTACTTGTATTTAATCTAGTTTACTATGACCTTGACTATATGAAAAACCGAACTTATCGAAGTTTAACTGCTTAAAAGTTTTCTTTAAATGGTTTTAAAATAAACAATATTTACTTGTATTTAATCTAGTTTACTATGACGTAATTGGTTGTAACATAAATTAAACATTTTTTTAGTCATTGTTTTTCATTTAACATAAAACGTGGTTGGCTTAAAAATTTCAAAATTTAAGTTTTCTGGTTCTTTGTATGTAATCAGACCGTGGTTTATGGTAAATTTTTATAGGTTTTAATGTCTTCTATCACATATTATCAATTGTATGAAATTTATGTCAATTTAAACTTGACCAACATCAATTATGAGGTTGAAGCAATTTTTGCTTAAAGTGTTAATCTCATATATATATTTTATCGAAACAATGTACAGGATCATTTCTATAGAAATTTGAAGGCACTTTAACATTATACTAAACAATCTTTGCGGAAAATCTCATAGTTTTTGAGATATTCTTAAAAAAACTAACAAAATATCATTTTTCTGTTCTTCCCCTCCCCCCCATTAAAACCCAATGCGGGATTCTTTAGGACTTTTTATCAGTTATTATAGAGAATAATTTCTGACAAGTTTCATCTTTATTTTTTGGATGTAGGGGTCAATCCGTAATTTTACTGGAATAATCGTAAAGCGCCTTAAGAAAAAGAAGAGTGGTATGACAATTTTTCTGTAAAAGATTTCTGGAATTCAGTTAATTCAATATACAGGATTTTCAACAAAAATACTGTATAACAGAAGAAATACCAGAGAAACTTAAAATAAGCTTAAGAACATTATTGTTTCATTAGAATATCAATGTTAAATTTATTTATTTTTTTTTTTTGTAAAATTCAATAGAAAGAGCAACATCTTCAGTCAATCGATCAAAAATATTTTTAATAGATAACCATTATAATAAAGTCGTAAAATAAGAAATAAATAATAATCTATTATATATTTCTTTTTTCACAATAAGCTTACAATAACAGAGATCCTCTGTATTTTTATATACTTAAAATTATGAATTTAGTATAGATCTTTTGAGTCCAGTTCAAGTGGCATGTCCTTCCGGTATGTATACCCCACGAATCGGGTGAATTTGTGGGCGTCAGTTTTTATATTCTAATCGATTTAAGCGGTCGGTTGGTATCCTTTCGATTCATTTTCATCTAATCTATGGAATGAGATAATTTTTGGCCATAAGGTTTTTCGTTGAATACCTTCAACTCAAATTAAAAAATCAAGTCACTTTTAAAATTACAACGATTAATGTCGTCAGTCATCTCGCATTCTATTTTAGATTGGCTCGCTGCGTATATTGAACCCAGTTTAAAGCGCAAGTCTTTTAGTTAAATTCACCCAACAAATATAGGGCATTTGGATGCCTCAGTTTTTAAATTGCAATTGACTTGAGTGGTCAGTTGGTATGCATTTCTGTATTATATAAGTAATTATATATGAGTAATTTCTTCGCCGTAAGGTTCTTCGTTGAAATATTGTAACCCATGTTCAGAAAATCAAGTCAGTTTCAAAAATGCAAAAACTAACGTCCTCAGTCATCTCGAATTCTATTTTAGATTAGATTGCTGCGTATTTTGAACCGAGTTGCAAGCGTAAGTTCTTCCGTTAAATGCACCGCAAAAATTAGTAGCTTTGGGACCGTTAGTTTTTATATTGTTACCGATTTAAGTGGTCAGTTGGTACGGTTTCGATTCATTTTCATCTAACTGATTTCTGCCGTAAGGTTTTTCGTTCGTAGGATTTCAATCCAAATTAAAAATTCGAGTTAGTTTTATAATTTCAACAATCTACGTCGCCAGTCATCTCGAATTCTATTTTAGATTGGTTCACTGCGTATTTTGAGCCAAGTACCAAGCGTAAGTCTTTTAGTTAAATGCACGGCACAAATTAGTGACTTCGGCACCCGTCAGTTTTCGAAACTCATCTACGTAGACCGGCAGCCAAGATGTTTTCTTATTTAGGAACATATTATACATCTCATCAAACTTTCAGCTGTCAGTTTTCTCGTTAAATGAAACGCCAAATTTCGCCACTTTGATTTAAAATTTTTTATATAAAACAACTGCTTTAAAGCTACTGACCGGAGTTGTGTATGCTCAACTCAGGCGAGGATTATCTGTAATTTAAAATGGTTTCTAGCTGTAAGTCCTTCCGTTAAATGAAACCGGCTCCTACTCTATTTCTTTTCTGATGCCTGGATAGAAGTTGCATATAATTTTAATACACACACAAACACAAAAAAAAAATATATGACTTATAATACATAATTCATCCCTTGAAATCCCAGTAATCTAGCATAACAATAGGTCCCGTTCTACTCTAATTTAATTTATACCTGATTGAATTAACATTAATTACTATATATGTGAATTTTAAAAGTAATTTTCAAATAATACAAACACATATTTGATCACAATAGTCCTACTTTGTATTTTGACACCAACTTTTCAGCCCTTGGACCGATTTCAAGGGAACAAATAATTAACAATCATTATGGACTGAATTACCCTTGTCAGCATCAATTTGTTAGTCAATAATGATTTTTAATTATTTAAAATACGTTTTTTAACTTAGTCAAAGAGCTGAAACGTTGGTGTAAATAAAACAAATAAAGCAGGTATATTGTGGTCAAACATGTGTTTTTATTATTACTATTAAGGTTAAGTTAACATTTGAATACATATAGTTATTTTCAAATGTTCTCACATCATCGAGTTTATTTCCTCCTTTGATAGTCAATCCTCCAATCTCTACTATATTCGGAAGATATGGACGTGGGTTAGTGGTTGCCATATGATTATCAAGTAGAACAAGAGAAATATTCTTAAACATATTTAATATTGGCGGCAAATTTTCGAATCCGGGATATGGTGCGAATCGACTTCTCATATCATAGTCCTGAAACGATTAAAGGATTATTGGTATCAATGACAATAATAATTAATATAAAATAAAGCTAATCATAGTAATTAAAATGTTATTACCAAATAAAGCCATGCTGCATGGGATATAAGATAATCCAGTAGATTAGCAAATGTACTTTTTGACCTTTCCCAAAAATTCATATAACGGGATGATGGAAAGACGCTCGAGGGAACGTAAGCCGGATTGTGTGGGTTTCCAGTAACCAGAGATAAGGCCATGAATATGTTCACTGTTTGGACAGAAACTTGAACAGCCCCATATTTGTGCCCTAGGGCTATAAATGGCTCCTGTCCAAAAAAAGTTTCTGTAATGACCATGTCAAATTTGGAATCTGTATCATTCAAGAATGCTTTAAAGCTTTCTGATTTGAATACATTATGACGCATAATTATACAAAACAACCTTGGGCCGAACAGTCTCATAAAAAATCCTTCGAAATCTCTTATGTCGTGCTTGCTCTCTTCTGTAAAAAACAAAAACATAATTTATGAGGAATGGATAATACTCGGGAGTTCCTTTTTATTCATCAGCTGAATTCTGCCAGGCAGGTTCCTATTTCAGCACAAAATGTAATATGGCTAATAATTTAGTGTTTAAAGTAATGTTAAATTGCAAATGAGACGTATGACGAAAAAAAATAAATCTATACGAATCAATCGCAGAGAGCACGCTACTCAATTGATGTGAAATTTGGGATCCTGAATGCACAGATAAAATTGAATAAGCTCATCTATTATTTCTTAAAATATTTCTCCGTCTTCCACTCAATACCCCAACCAGTTTTGTGCTATTAGAGACTGGAACGGTCTCACACCCACATTCAAGTATTGAAGAGAATGCAATACTGGTGGCAACGAATCTTATAGATGCTAGAGGATAACTTATGCAAAAACTGTTACCTCGCCCTCAAGAATGCCAAGCTCTACAAGCTACATTTCAACTGGATAAATGTGTTACAAAATATTCTAGACATATTATGGTGTGGAAAATCAACCCATCCTGTCAAAAGAAGAATGGACTGAAAATACTGAGTAAGCCCAGAACTATTGGCTAAGCAAAGACATAGAGTTCATCCTAAATAACTCATTCAGCCCCATATACAAGATGCTATAGAACCTTATTTGAACATGAAGATGTCTGTAGCTAAAATCAGATTGGTAGCTCAGATAAGGCTGATGAGACCAGAAAATCCTTCAAGAATCTATTTTGATTGTAATTAAATTTACGTGTTCTAAAGATATATTTGTTAGTGCAACCAAAGGATTTTATATTTATTTATAGATAAATAAAACTAGATCAGTGATTTCAATAATATAATATCATATAGACAAATTACGATGAAGTATATATATTCTTCCTCTTTTTCCACCCATTTCCTAGCCAAATTTTAAATAAAAAAAAGGTCGGGTCGATGATTAAAATAAATTATTACATTCCAAGTACTCGAGCCATTGCGCTATAATCATAATAAATAATCAATAAAAAGAAAACATTTATTTATTTTCACCCTAACTTACCTCACGGGTTTTGGTGAGGGTAGCGTAATAAATATTTTTTTTATGAAGCTACATCAGCCACTTAGACGGTAGTGCTTCAACTGAAGTCCACATCTTCATTCATGGATTGCTTTCTACCGCTTCCTCTCTTCGTCTAGGGGCACCATGGTTAAAGTGTTCCGGACCCACAGACATCTTCCACCCGTATACGAATTTTTCGAAATACGGGTAGTTCTCTTGTTTCATGAGGGAGGGGAAATCATCTTCTGTCATAACGTAGAATTCCGCTTTCCTCGTTAAAGTGTCCCTAAATCCTTCAAACAGAATGCAGGTTACGACGTGTTCGGCAGTTTCTGTGATGCGGCACCTGGAACATTGGGAGTCGACGTTCTTGCCAAAACTGTACAGTTTGACCCGAAAGCCTCAATGTCCCGTAAGGACTTGCGAAACCCAGTATTCCGGGAGCATTCATTTCTCTTTCGGAGAAGTATAAAAAAAAACGAAAAACACAAGGTTAGGATCGATTTGATTTCTGGGTATATTATTGCAATTTATATCGAGATCAGATATGCAAATTAATAAACCCAGGAGTCAAATTCATACATGATAAAAACCACTACATTTTTTTATATTTCTGCTACGATGGTCAATATTCTAGAAAATAACTCACGAAATGCATAACAATATAATGTATTATAAATAATGTAATACTATGCACTACAGAGGTGTACATCTTCCCCAAGGTTGATGGCGCAGGAACCTATCCGTCCTCTCCTCCCTATCCCAAGATATTTTCTGAAAAACTGAGGAAGCGATAGTAGAATTAGAAAAATCGTGGATCTTACACAATTACACTTGCTGCGTTTTGTTATATATTTTCTCCATGTCCCTTAGTATGAAACTTTATACTCCGAAAATTCAGAAGCCTGACAAAATGTGGCTTCTTCAAAAACTAAAAAAACCGTCAAACTATGCCGCCTCAAAAATTTTAATGGCGCAACTTGCGGCATCAAACACTATTCTGGGCACCCCTGATGTACTATATACATGTTTTTATATATCTTTTTATCATTTAGGGATTATCCTCACCAATGTATTACTTAAAAAAATATTTAATTTTCTGTAATGGGAAATTTCTCCCTTAGGAAATCTCCCCCATCTCACACACACCTACCGATACATGCACAGAAAATATTATCCGAAACTCGCTTCACTCACATATGAAAAAGAACGTATGTGACCTTTGACGTTCGAAGCAGCAATATGTTTTTTTCCAATTAAATAATTCACTTATTGAATGAACTCATTTAAACATAACATAGCATTATCATAAAAAAATTTAAATACTAACGCATTTCTCTCAGGCTGTCCTCTATTACAACTTCGTTGAAATTCGGAATAGGTTCCTTTAATTGAAACGGACTGACCATTGTTAAATTATGCCCTCGTTTTGCTAATTCGATAAACAGTGGCAAGTAAGACTTGGTGTGACTGTACAATGGGAGAGGCATCATCACCAATATGTTGTATCCATGGCAGTAGTTCATAATAGATAATATTAAAATATAAATGGCACCTTTCATCTTGAAAACCTGGAATTACAAAAGTCACAAACTTTAATTATAATGATTAGTTCAGTAAAATCGTCATAATTTCAAAAATGTATTGATAAAGTTTGTTTCAGACCTTACATACAGTACTCAGATAAAATTTGCGTTATATGCTACCAAAAACAAATAAAAGTTATTTATCACTAAATTTGTAAGCCAAATTTTCCTAATGCATTTATACTACATGAATTATACCTCAGTATATGTTTAAATAATCTCAGTTTTGTTTTTAATCTATCCTATTTTGTGCAATGCTCTGTGTCTCAAAATGCTCTGTGGTATTTATTCTTTTATACTCAAAAACATATATTTGGATATAAGGATCCAATTCTCAAGAACATTTTCAAGTTCAAAACAGTACCAAAGGGTATATAATAATCACTAAGTAGTTGTATACAAAGTCAAAATAAGTAGAAACCCATTGAAAAAATAATCATTTAGTTTAATTACTAATTTCTAAACACAAATCCCTCCCTCCCTCCTCCACCTTTCCCACCAAGAACCTCATATTCTTAAAAACAGTGCAAACGAAAGTGGAATTTAAAAATTCGTAGATGATTTGTACCTGTACCTATACCTGCTGCGACCGTTCCATGTTTTTCCCTTGTCCCCTGGTTCATTCTAAAAATTTATAATTCCTTCGAAATATTCCTCTTCAAAAATTCAAAACCTCGTCAAAATGTGCCCCCCACAACTTTTGACGACGCAACATGAAACACCCTTCTGGTCACTCCTCTCAGGACTATTAAATAAGCTACCATTTTTTTGAAGAAGTGCGTCCACAAGCCAACTTTTTTTTAGTCTCACCGTCATATTATTTGGTTCAACAATTCGCAGAATAGACAACACAGAATTTGTAGTTTAACTGGAAACGGTTCTAATCTTTTCATTTGCAAATAAAAAGATCTTTTGGAGTTTTTATCGATTTTCTGTTCTTAATGTGCGATGGGAGCCCTCAAAACTGCATAATGTTCGGACTTTTATTAGTTTTAACTAGTATAGGCTTGGCAACTGAGTAATTGCGGATTTTCGTGGAAAATAAATATACTCAAGTTAAATCAAATGCTTTTCGATGCTCGTTTGCGAACAAAGCGAGATTTTCTATGACTTCACGAGTAGAGATATGAAGATTTTCGTTTATAAACTCTTTGGTTGTTTTCAACTTCATTTGGTCGGCCAGAGTTGTTTATCTTTCAGTAAAAATCTTCTGCATAAACTTATTTAAAAAATAAATAAAATAGGACATCCATATATTTAAATACAAATACTGGTACCCATATAATCCCAAATATGAAAAATTATATTGTACTTAACTGTGCAGAAATGTTTTGATATGGATGCAATCATCTAGAAATATTTCTATCAAACCTAAACCAAAGAAAGTAAACTTTTCGATTTAATAAAACTGTTGTCACTATAAACAGGAAACGCTATATGCTACATGTATCGTTCTGTAATCTGTTCGCTGCTATTCACGATGTTATTTAATGCTAATATACGATAATTCAATGTAGATCAAACCGAGATAATAACTTTCCAGTACAATACATCATGGTATTCAAAGCTTACCTAGGCTGCAATACACCGTAATCCTCTACAATCTTGCTTAATTACAAGTTATTGCTTTAGTATTCAGACGAGATAACGTATCAGCTAGTGTTATCTTCACTATTCATAACATATAAATTACTTAGTATGATAAAAACAATTCCTAAAAATTATGAATATCTTATTTTCTTATTTAGGCACGCTAATCCCCATCTGCTTTATCGATGACTATGAAATGATAATTCTTAATCACTTAATTAATGTCATAAAAATACTCTCCATTGTATTTGTAGACGAGACCACTATAATGTCATAACATCTTCATTACATGAGTGATCAACTTAGCCAGTTAAAACTGGTGGCTAAGTCAACGATAAATCGTGATATTATTTTATAAATGTGCATTTTTTGTAAAGATAAATTCACTATCTGCGGAAGTATTAAGCAAATATTCCATCAAAATTAGAAAAAAATAAATAAATAGCACAACTATTACAAAGTTTCAACTGACAAAGAAAAAGATAAGACAACACAAAATTAAAAGACTTAGAAACAGCCTGATGGATTTTCGTTGCTCATCAATGATTTCAGTACTCAGTTTAGAAAATTTCTCATTACCTAACATGAGACATGCAATATGGTAAGGATATGGATATTATATAGTTTTTATTATATATTTTATTACAAATAACACTATTATAATATCTTATAATAATATACATTATTAAAGCACATCTGATGTCATGTGGTCCTACAGTGGATCCCCAGCCATTGTGGGATTCCGGGTAACGTTGAGGCTGATATTCTTGCCAAGCGAGGAACAGATTTGCCTCAGCCGATACATCCAAAACCTTACGACTCAATACGGCGAATGGTGAAGATGGTAGTGAAGGAAGAAATAAGAAAAGTACATTTCGGCAAAGTGGAAGGGAAGCGTCTAGACGCATGTCCTGCCTTGAGGGACATAAGAGACAAAATATTTTCAAATATACATATCAGAAAATCTAAATTATACTTGGCAGCAAGATGTCGGATGGCCAAATGACCACCGACTGGCATAAGAAAGAAAAAAAAAAAAAAAGTTTTTATTATATATTTTATTACAAATAACACTATTATAATATCTTATAATAATATACATTATTAAAGCATATCTGATAATTAATGTTAGTAGGATATAATAAATATAATGTATAAGATATAAATATTGAAATCCTGCAAAATCACTAATTGTCTTTTTTTTCAACTAGAGACTTCATACCAAAGTTCTCTTCAGTCTTTTTTACTTTTTGATTTCCTCGCTTTACATATACATTTGATACTTTTCCTTAACAATAATACAACCACAACAAAGACTGCCCCCCAAACTACAATCACATCTAGGAGCAGATATTGGTACCAAGACAGTTCTACAGCCGCAGATCTCAGGTGAGGAGCTCCTCTGTGCCGAAGAACGTACTCCACCCAGTAGACTGCGTTATCCATGACGCTCAGGGGTCTGTCTTTCATGATCTTACTTCTTCTAAGAGCGTTTTCTTTATAACTGTAAAAATATATGAAGTTTTTATCACTATTTAAAATATTTTTGAATTATTAAAGCACAGTAATTTATCATGTTATACCGTCTATAATTTTTACATTCACTTTTCTAGATATCAAAATACCTATTCAGCTCTAAGTAGGATTGTAAGTAGAAATTTACAGAATGTTTTTTATAGAGCAAAACGCCTGAAAGCTTGCAGTTTTTTTCTGTCCATTACAAAGCATTGTTAGCAACTGCTAATATCATGTTTATAATTATGAAGAGTTATGGTAGTGTTAGCTTACACATCCAAAATAATAAATTAAAAAACGTTATTTTATTGATAACGACTATCTAAATTTTTAACGGTATAAATAGCCCCGCTAGAATTATATGTGAACCCCAGGATACATTAGAAAATTTAACAACTCACGATGAATTTGTCAGTATTTTGTTTATAGCATCCAAGAGGACTGCTTCAGTAACAGTACTGAGATCGATATATATGCAATAACCAGCCTCTTCGCAAAATTTTATATTGCTCGTTTGATCAGCGAAGAGAGGAGTTCCTATGATAGGAACACCATGATAGGTCCCTTCCAAAACTCCATGAAGTCCACCATGGCTGACAAAAGCACGAACATTGGGATGACCTAAAAAGCAACAAAAAAAAAAAATCAAATTATAAGAAAACACCAAAGTAAGGCAACTATTCTCAAGTTTTTGAAATACTATCTCTATCTAATTTCCTAGAAATGACACAGACTGTTCATGAAAATTGGGAGCAAGTATGCAATTTTTATTTTTTACAGACATTCAAGGTACTCATATTTTCAAACTACAATTTTATGACTTTTTATATTTATGGCTCACAATGTTATGTAATTGTTAACAATAATAAGTCCAATAATTGGACATTGTGCGGTCTTCGGAAGTTCAAAGATGTCGCGCAGCTCTCCTGCTACTTTATTTAATAATGTTGACCAAATCATCTTATTTTTAGTATAATGTTCTAGCACGATTGAAGCTGTTTCAGTGTGCCTTTTTTTAGATGAGTGAAAAATGGTACGCTGTCTACATCGAAGTACTTTTGTATGCATGCAATTTAAGTCGCAGTGAAAGCCCCGAAGAAGTTAAAAGACTATAGAATCTTTTTTCATTCATATGAACCTTACTTAATTGTAGCTGTGGGCCTACAGTTTTAAGTGCCGATCCAGCTTAATGTCTAGGAAGAGTGGGATGGAATGAAATAGAGCTCAAGTGTTTTTTTTATTTTCTAATGGTTTTAGGATTTCGGACATTTTTTTCTTTTTGTAGAGCAAATAAGATGCATTCTTGTTTTGAGCTATTCACTGTTATGCTTGAGAGTTCCAATTTCTGCTCATTAGTATAGTTTACCGATCAAGCTCGAGTAAAGCTAGTGATGGCTTTACCCTTCCACTATTTACTGCTATTTCAGCATGTGGATGAGAAACAGTGCAGATAGAACTGCTTTTCGTGGCCCACCGCAGGTGAGGGAAACAGGGCAAAAGTGTTCATCTTGAACTAGTTCATCCAGGCTTTGTTTGAATAGGTTTGGTATAGAGCTTATGGGTATTCAGTGTCAACTAGCTACTGACAGAAGATGCCGTGGGACACAGAGTCGAATTCTTTCGAACAGTTAGAATAATGACAGATGTCATATTTTATATGCATTAAATGGAATTCAGTGCTGATCTTTGAAAAACTGTATGTTCGTCTAGTATCACTGAATGTTGCTGATAAATTTTGTAATAATAATTGTAAATTATATTTCCAAAAATATTTGCGAATTTCCGTTGTTCCGGAAAATATTTTCGGAGACATTTACTATACAAATTTGTAGGAATTTAATTTGTATATATGCACTACACCTCTTCGAGATGTATCAATATAAAGTTTCCCTAACATATCAACATAACCTATAGTTGGTCATATAAGGCAGCTTTGATCCTTGGTCTGTTCTGGCATCAGTATCTCTTCAGTAATAATCGAGCACCTCGAGTACCAGTACCTCGGCTTGCTCATCAGATACAAGTAGGCGATTACCGTCATGTAGGCGAATCGTTGATGATTCGCGTTTACGACAATACAACGATTCGGCGAATCGTTGTATTGTCGTCATCTCCGAGTACCTCTAAGTCATTTTTTCCAAGTGGTAAATGTAACCGATATTTGGGTAGCCAAGATTATAGGTTCTTGATATATATTTACAAAAACTAGTAATTGTGTTACGAAAAGTAATGGTGTCTGGAAGAATAAAAGTTCATCTTCCTCATCAAAGTTTTTTCTAAGTGCCTATCTAGTACATAAAACACATATTTCAATTGAATATATGCGAAAATGATTACCTAGTATACTAGCTTGTGGTACCCACTTGGCCAGCCTTACATTATCAGGTTTTCCCGGCATGGTATCTTCATCTACTTTCATCAGTACTCTTTGTTTTAGCTTTCCGAATGCTGACATGAAAGCAGTGAGTTCGTGAGGCCTCATATTTTCTGTTTTGTAATGGGATCCCCAGCTGAAATATATTACTCCATCAACGGATTCATTCAAATATTGTTCCCATTCCTAAAACATGTTAAGAATCAAGACAATGGAAAAGAAAGTGCTTAGTCACACTGTATGCAATATGGCGTATATCAATTTTCTCAACTTTTCATATAGATAAGAAAATATGAGAAAATACGGATTATTATTACGTTTAATTCTTTTTATTCTGGTTAGATTTCAATAATTACAATGATTTTCAGTAATAACTAAAACAATAATTCAACCAATCCATTGATACAGCACCACAGTGTTCTAACATATACCTGATTGTATTGCAATTTTATTAATATAAATTTTAAATTCGTGTAAATAATTTATTATTTGCATCTCTCTACTTCATCGAGTTTATCCCCTCCTTTGACGGTCAGTCCTCCAATCTCGACCACATTTGGAAGATACGGGCGAGGGTAAGTTATTGCCATATGATTGTCAAGTAGAACAAGAGAAAAATTCTTAAACATATCTACCATAGGCGGTAAATTTTCAAATCCAGGGTATGGTGCTAAACGGCTACTCATATAGTAGTCCTGAAATAATAAAAAATACATCAATAACATAAGTCGAACTTTTAAATAATGTAAAATAAAGCTACTCATAGTAACTGAAAAATTATTACCAAATACAACCATGTTATATGGGAAATAAGATAATCCAGTAGATTTGCTAACGCACTTTTCGATCTTTCCCAAAAATTCATCTGATGCGATGATGGGCAAACGATTGAAGGGACGTAAGCTGGATTGTGCGGGTTTCCAGTAACGCGTGATAAGGCCATGAATAAGGTAATTGTTTGGACAGAAACCTGAATAGCCCCGTACTTGTGCCCTAGAGCTACAAATGGTTCCTGACAAAAAAAAGTTTCAGTAATGACCATATCAAATTTCGAATTCGTATCATTCAAAAATGCTTTCAAGCCTTCAGATTTAAATGCATCATCGAGCAATAATTTACAAACAAGCCTGAGACCGAACAGTCTAAATAAAAATCCTTCCATGATTCTGATGTCAAACTTGTTCTCATCTAAAAAAAAAAAAATAATAAAAATATGAAATCAATCAAAAACTGTTTATTTAATTTTTTGTTCTCTAGATATGCAACAAAGCTGGGTTTGAAAATATAAAAAAATTCTAAGATTTAAAAGTTTTCTCCGAATAACTCGAAAACCATACGTCTTCTTCTTACTTGACCGCAGAAAACTAGACAATATTCGGGAAAGACAGATACAAATGGTTTTATTCAGGTGCTGGTTTGATTCGATATAGAACAGAGACAGATAACAAATTTAAAAAAATGATTTCTACAATTTATTTTTTTAAAAATAATTTGACCTATTGACTGATGAAGTTTGAAAGCAGTTTTAAGTCAACTTGGCATAATTTCTTCTTACTTTTTTATTTTAATTTTCTTGATTGTCGACATTTTCCTATTTTTAACGACATACAACAAATTTAACAAGGCAAAACTAATATTGAAAAAAAAAAGTAACAATATTAAATTATAAAAAAGAAACATGGGAAAGAAATAATAATTTGAACACAAATATCTATAACAATATTATGTGATATAAATGAAAAAAAAAAAAAAACGCTGCAAATTATTACACTATGGTTTATTATTTTCAAACTATTATATATCAAAAGTGCATTACTTTCCTTTTAGCATAAGGACAAAATAAATAAAAGACGATACCTAATGTTGCCCTAAATAATTTTCAATTTCATCATTAATCAATAATTTTCTAAGAAAAAAAACATTCCTTCAGATTTCGTAAATTTTTGAATTTTTCTTAGCCAAGTTTCACAGAAATCGGTAAATCCGTCTATACGGCACAGGTCTTTCGGCCGCCATCTTGAAAGAGATATAGATTTCGATGTACTATGTTCTGTATATATATTTAAAGGGCATCTAGGAGAAGAATTTAGCCAAATTTCCTTGAAATCGTTACATTCGTTTAGACGTCTACACCAACACAGGTTTTACAGCCGCCATCTTAAAAGGAAAGGGCGGATAGTACTGTCGAGGTAGGAGGAACATCCTCGGGTAACCTCTAACTTATATTCCAAATTATTAAAAAAAAAAAAAATAGATTCTGTAGTTTCGTAGATAATGAGCGAAAGCGGACGGAGAATTTTTTTTTATTCGATTTTCGAGTACTACGTATCCTGAAACGTAAAATCTCACATTTTGAGGAGAGTTTATGTTTTTGAATTTGAATTTGTTGGACGATTACATTGGTTTATTATTGAAAATAATGTAGAAGTTTTCTATAGTAGAAGTTTTTAAAATTCTGTCCAAACTTATGTATATAAAACAGCTCCCATTTTCTTAGAGAAATTAGCAAGTATCAGATTGGGTTTAGAAGGGGTAGATCTACAGTTGATCAGATAGCTTCAGTATGATCCCACAAAAATCGCATGAGCCCCGGAAGATTACCCACCACCTGTTTATCGATTTTTGAAATCCATACGACAGTTTAAAAAGGAGCCTGAATTATACGCAGCCTTTTCTGAAATTGGAATACCACTGAAACTTCCCCACTTAATCAGGATGATAATGTATAACGCGAGATGCGCTGTAAGGGTACTGTCAGACATTTTACCATAATTTGTTTCCGCAAGAGGTTTAGGGCAGGGTGATGGGTTGGCTCGTCTGCTATTTTTAATTTAGCTTTGGAAAAGGTCATATGTGACTCGGGAATACAGACAACAAACACTATTTTCAATAGGTCTGTTGAGGTATATTGTTTTCCAGAAGATCTTAACTCATCGCTAGGATCCTTCAAGTCGCTAATAAGCGAGCAACTTAATTTGGCTGAAGCTGCATAAGAAATGGGAATGCTTGTGAAGAAAAAACCAAGTATTTTTTAGCAGGACCTAGGGCAGACGCAGCAGGACGGGAACCAGTCGAGATGGGTCCTTCACGTTCCGTTGTGTGGATCAGTTTAAATATCTGGGATTAATGATAACCTCCAGAAACACAATTTCTGTAAAAATTGGTCAGAAACTGGTTAATGCCAATAAATGTTGGCATGAATAGACACCTTAAAAAATCATGATTAACAGGCTCTACCAAGTGTCAATTATATAGGACCTTCGTATGGTCATATGGTCATATAAGCCTATCCTAACTTACGGCTTGGAGTCCTCAACTTTCACAAGTACAGAGGAAAAGGGTCTTCTTATTTTTGGAAGGGAAATCCTTCGCCGCATATTTGAAGTGAGAAAGGTCAACAATTGCAGAAGGAGGATGAATGCAGAGATTTAAGACTGGAGGAGCAGATTTAATGACGAAAGTAAAATTGGGCATACTACGTTATGGGCCAGGGGGGCCCTAAATAGAGTTTGATGGCATCAACATTTTTGAGGAGGGCATATTTTAGCAGGTTTCTGATTTTTTTAGGGAGACACATTTTGATGGAGTTGTGAATTTTCGGAATGAAAAGTTTCATACTAAGGGACAAGGGGAAAACTTGGAACAGTCCGCAGCAAGTGTATTATATGTGACAATTATATACGATCTACGATTTTTCTAATTCAATAACTCTGTTTTTAAAAAGAGGTGAGCAATCAAATATGTTGTAAGTGGGGTGATAGGTTCTTGTGCCATTAACCTTGGGTGGATGGGTACCCCTCATGCTGACCACTTTGCACGAATGCCAATAGAGAAGATCTCAAGATATTTGCTGGAGGAGAGACTGCATGGGAGCATAGGAAGAGGCAAGCATTGATTAAGAAGGGAGGATGCAGAAACGAGATAATGGAACTGCTGGGCACCCCCAACTGGCAATAGGTTGCTCAGGATAGATTGGCCTGGCGAAGACTCATTGAGAAGACAAGAATCGTACCGGTCTGTAGCGCCACGGAGTAGTAGTAGCAGAAGTTTTTAATACTATGTTAGCTTTCTTTCTCACAATTGCACAAAAATACACAAAAAATGCACGCATGATCTCTATGAGATACTTAACATTCACAAGTGATGAACATGCGAAAAACAACCTCAGTAGCCATAAATGTACAAGCTCAAACAAACTCATAAAAACATAATATAGTATTATTATAATATAAATTATATACTAACGCATATCTTTCATAATGTCATCAACGATGATTTCATTAAAATTCGGAACAGGTTCATTTAATTTATACTGGCTGACCATTGTTACATTATGTCCTCTTTTAGCTAATTCGATAAATAGTGGCAAGTAAGATTTGGTGTGACTATACAATGGGTAAGGCATCATCACTAATATGTTGTATCCATGGCAGTAGTTCACAATAGAGAATATTAAAATACAAACAGCACCTTTCATCTTGAGGACCTGAAATTACAAAATTTAATAATAAATTTTAAGCTCAATATAATCGTCCTAGTTTCAGATACTAACATTTATAAAACAACTCCTGTTTGTTGTTAGCTGTTGCAGAATTGACAATTATATTTTTTTTTAAGTTATTCGTAAGATGTTTTTAAGACGGAACAAACACGTTTTAAAGTTTCCTTAATGGTGCCGAAAACTTAGGGTTTTACCCAACTTTGTTTCATGAATAATCATATTTATTCAGTGAAAGAATGAAATAATGAAATCATTATTTAGTTATTCATCAAGTTATTCATTCAGGGTAATTTAAATATTATTGCAGGCACAGAATTGTCATTTCGCCACTACCAATAATTCGATGAGCAATCAATAACAACAACGATTAAAATCAATAACAAATAGTTTACAATAGCGAATTAAAAGGGACGGGATGGTCAAGAGGGCTGACGCCTGTGTATAACACCTCGTTGCTGGGCAACCTGATAACAGAAATTACAAGATAAAACAATTAAGAGTTCGCGTCCCAGGACTAGGTGGCATTTAACTCTCTGGTACTAATCCGCCTCCTCTGTCCCGGGAAAACCTAGTATATCCTAAATGATATACGAATAAAGTGAAGGGGGGAATAAAAAGAAATCTTGAAATTTTTAGTATTTTACTACCTTTGAAAGACTGAAGAAGGCTCTGTTTACGCTTCCTATAAGCTGTCCTATTTCCGACTGTTGATCATTTATTAAGGTTATAGTGGAACCAAGATAATTGAATTTGTCTATTCTCGGGAACGATTCCTCTTCAGCGCAGATCCTGTTATTGGGAGGAAATTTTCAGCTGATTATCGTATATGTTCTTTTACTTTACCCTAGGCCGATTAATCCAGGTTCTTAGCGAGCTTCTCAATTTCCTCTTGGTTTCTCCATCTTCATGTGACGTTCTAATCATCTTCTCTAGCGCTAAGTTGAACAAAATCGAGTCCGTTTCCTAGAATATTTCCAGTTCGAAATTTGAACTGAGCCAGCTCTGTGTCTACCCTCCTGCTGAGGGAAGGTCCTGGTGGTTTCTGAGAGCAGCTGGACTGAAAAGAGAATATTAAGGCACGATTTCACCATGGAAGGTGCAGAGCTGTGCAATGGACTGTTCCACAGGAAAACCCTATATTTATTGTTCATAGAAATAAATACATACATACCCAAAGCATGTATAAAATACTGAACAATAACAAATAGAAAAAGTATGATCGGTGGCAGTGGCGTGCGCAAAACCCATGCACACTGCCCCACTGCTGCTGAGAACCATGTATGCCAAAAATGGCCAGGCAGGGGAAATAAACAAAAATAAATTTTTAAAAAAATTTAACTTTGAAGGATTTAGATACTTCTCCTATATCCTCGTATTAGAACTCGACATTTAGTCACGTGTTCACGCCTTAGTCAATCTCAAAAACTTCCCAAAAATCCCGGCAATTTCTCTGGGGCCAAGGTGTGAGGGCGAACGATTAATGCCAGAGTTAAAAGGCTCCTCTCCCCTCTCCCCCGAGCACCGGGACGTGAACCCTTAATTTGTTTATCTATTATCTCTCATCAGGGTGGGTTGCCTAACAACACCCTGTGCTGTCCCCATGCATTAGCCCTCTTGGCCACGCTACCTCTCCTCCCAGTTCAGTCATGATTTTCCAAATATAGTTTCTGTCCAAGGAATCATAAGTTGCTTTCAAATCGAAAAGTAAGACATGCACATCCTGAACTATTTCTCATTGTTTTCTGAGTACTTGTCTGAGGATGAAGATCTGGTCTAGCATTCTGCCTTCCGTTAAAAATCCAGCTTGGTGGCTGCCTATTGTATTTTCGTAATACAGATATATCCTTTTAAACAGATATCGGTATCTGGTATGCTTGTGGATATCTTTTAGGCAACAGAATGGAGTGCTATGCCTCAGTAATTACTACACTCATGCATGGAGACTTTCTTTAGTATGCACAGGTTCCACATTCCAAGTCTCTGATACCTTTTCCTCCTCCCATATTTCCTTGGTTAGTGGTAATAACTTGGTTTTTTTATTATTTTTTTTAACCAAATAAAAACAATAAAAATGTCAACACATAATGTTTCCTAAACTTAAGTAACATGAAACTTAAGCTTAAATGAGAAATTCATTATATCAGAATTCGTAGTAGCGAATTGCTATGAAAAATTAATAAACTGAAGATATGAATATGGTATAATATTGATGGTAAAATTAATGAAAACAATCTTTTCCAAATAAATTACTGACAGATCTTGTTCTTTTTCTGCAATATAGGATAATGATAATGAGATACAAGACAATTTTCTGTTGATATTTTTTTTCTCATTGAGCATATATTCTAAAATTTAAATTAATTATTATTAAATAACTCAAAAAGTTAGTAAATAGTTAATTATTCAAATATATGAATATACCGCCAAACATGACCAATTATAATGGCCTTAGACATAGTGCAATCATATTTCGTAAAAATAAATAAAATTATCTTAAACTGTTGATAACAAAACCTAATTATAAAAAAAAATTGTTTGACTTAATGAAGCTATTGTTACTAAACAATTATAGATATTGTCACTATATGCTATAATTATTACTCCTGAATCTATTCTCCAATATCCACAATGTTGTTTAATGTAAATACAAGATATTTAACTGTTGATCAAACCGAGATAATACATTTTCAATATAATATATCACACTGCTGAGAGCTTACCTAGGCTGCAATACACCGTAAACCACAACAATCCTATTTAATTACTAATTATTGTTTTAGTGTTCAGACAAGATAAGTTATCAGTAGGTGTTATCTTCACTAGTCATAACATATTAATTATGAAATAAGATTAACACGATTCCTAAGAGTAATGAATACATTATTTTCTTCATCAAGAATGCCTATGTCCATGTTACTTATGACTGACTAAGAAATTACACCTCTTAACTGGCTAATATATTTCAAGGTTAAGATGTCAAGGCACTACACTCAACGATAGTTTGACAATTATCTGGGGAAAATATGTCATTATATTTATAATATGATTAGTGATCTTTTCAACCTAGTATAAAAGTAATTTTTTTTTAAAAGAAAAATAATTATAATTCATTGTAATTCAAAATTATAAATAAAAATAAATCTAAAATTTGTTTAGAAGTTTTTTGTTAAATAATGTCCTTGTGACAAGCAAAATTTAATAAATAATTTTATATATATATAAAATTTCTTATTTTATATTATAATTTTTATTATATATTAATTTTTTTTTTAAATATAATATATATATATATATATATATATATATATATATATATATAAACATAATTATTCAATTTGGAAATTAGCTCACTTAATTATTATTCAATGAACTACAAAATGTTCATTAATCCTGTTGTTTATTCAATGTTTCGATCCCTGTTTTATTATGCTAACAATGGGATTCTCTTCAATGTTTTATAATAGAGCCTCGATATCTCAGGTCAGGGACACATTGACAGCCTCAGTACTGTCCATTAGCACAGATATTAAGCTACTATTAAAGTAAGAAATAGCTTAATATCTGTGCTAGTAGACAGTGCAGCGGCTGTCAGTGTGTCCCTGGCCTAAGGTATCGAGGCTCTATTTTAAAACACTGAAGAAGATCCCATTGCTAGCAAAAAAAAAAAAAAAAAAAACAGGATCAAACATTTACTTTGTTTTTTATTAAAGAAAATATATGTGGCCTCTAGAATCAAAATCCACTAAATCCAGTTTTCAAAAATTTCAAGGATTCCTAATAATAAGAATAATGAATATATCAAAATTGTTGATCCAAACTCACTTAACCTTGGGAAGGAGAGGAAGGTACATACAGCTTCAGTTAGCCCACTGGCAGAGGGCAGAGGTAAGAGAGTACAATTATGAACAGAAGACAATAAGAGTTACTATTAAGGGAAATGATTTTTTTTTTTTTTTTTCATCGCATATGAGTCATTATGAACGGATATATAATATCCTATAAGTAAAAACCTATAAGTATTGCCTACAAGGTAATAAATAAAGAAATGTTACAAACATGAAAAGGAGCTGAATATTATAATTGTTTTAAACAAATGTTTTTTTTATATATAACAGTATTATTTAACATATAATTGTATACATTATTGCAAAATACAAGTTCACAGCATATCAATCAAGTATGCCAATAACTTGATCTGATGAATGACGCCCGTAGGGTATACTAGCCAAGATTTAGTTTTGGGGATGCTTCAGCCCAAAAGATATATTTTTTAAAATATATAACAATAATTTCTGGGGAAGAAAAAGATAGGAATTAACTACCTATATGAAATAGAGTTTAAGTGATTCTTTAAGTACTATTTAATGTAATTACACTTACAATAATACTTTTAGAGGTAATTATTAAATATTTTTTTCATAAAACGTGGATATATTTTACCATTTTGAGGAGTTTTAGCCTGAAAGTCCCCCTTCTCCCCATAGATCCGCCCGTGGTAGGGTATAATAAATAAAATTTACAAAACATAAATATTTATAATCAAGCTCAATAATTTATAGTCATATTTTTTTTTTCCTTAACTAGAGACTTCATATCAAAGTTTTCATCAATCTTTTTTACTTTTTGATTTCCTCGCTTTACATATACATTTGATACATTTCCTTAACAATAATACAGCCATAACTAAGACTGTTCCCCAAACTACCATCACATCAAGGAGCAGATATTGGTACCAAGACAGTTCTACAGCCGCAGATCTCAGGTGAGGAGCTCCTCGGTGTCGAAGTACGTACTCCACCCAGTAGACTGCGTTATCCATGACGCTCAGCGGTCTGTCTTTCATGATTTTACTTCTTCTAAGCGCGTTTTCTTTATAACTATAAACAGATATATATTTGCTATCACTATACTATAATATATTTTAAAATAAATTTATTTCATGCTTAGAAATAAAATTTCTTGTAAAACAAGTTTCTCATCATGACATAGCCAAACAATTTTTGCCACTAAAATATAAATGGGACAAGCCATGATTTGAAAGAATTTAGAAGTATAAATTAATTAATCAATTAAGTACTAATAAAGAAAACTTATTATATTTAATAAATATGTGTTTAACTTTTATACAAAAATGATCTCTTTTAATCCAACAGTTTTTATTTTAAAAATAAAAAATCTTTTTAACAAGAATTTTTATTTTCTCCTTATTAAAACGTTTCACTGCCAAATAGTATTAAACTACACAGTCAATTTTAAATGGATAGTATATGACTATTTCGTTTTTGTTGGAATGTTTGAAAATGATTTTTAGCATCCTTATATTATAAGGAGAAACAAAGATTCTAGTAAAAAATATTTTTTATTTTATTTATAAAATAAAATGGTAAGATTAAAGGAGGTCTTTTTTTATAAATTTTAATCACATATTGATTAAATATAATAATGAAATAAAGATCAAAAAATTAATAACCTAAATAAAGTTGTTTATCATAAATTAAGAAAAATTATAACAGTAAAAATGATGGGTGATCCTTATATAAATTTATCTTTTAACTTAAGTTGTCTTACAATTTTCTCAGAAATAATAAATTAGTTTCAAAGTTTTATCTTGTCAAAGTTCCAAATAGACTGTTACTAATGTAAAACAGTTTAGGATGAATGAATAAAAGGTCTTCAACTTCTTAATTAATTATATGGTTATTCACAATTCAATTTATTATTGCTATTAACTAAATTTCATTATTCAGTTCTTTATTGCTATTCAATGATATATTTAGAATAATTAAAAATAAATTTAATGTATGCTGAGAAAAAAAGTTTCTGGTAAACCAAGTTTCTCATCCTGTCAAAGGTAAATGATTTGTGTCGTGGACCAAACCATCATTAGAAATATTCAGTAAGTAGTAATTGAGTAATTAATAACAATGATTGTAATGATCAAGAAAACTCATAACAGTGAAAAAGATAAGATATTCTAATTAACCCTACCTAATTTATATCTTAAACTTATAGTTAATATTGTTAGTAATTATGTTCAGTTATGTCAATGTTAGCTCATATGTACAATAATATACGTCCCGACATTATTGCATTTTATTGTTATTACCACTATCTAAATCTTGAACATTGTAAATACCACTACTTGAATTATATTTTAATACAATTGTACATTGGAAAATTTTATAACTCACGATGAATTTGTCATTATTTTGTTAATAGCACCCAAGAGGATTTCTTCATTTACAGTATCAAGATCAATATATATGCAATAACCAGCCTGTTCGCAAAATCTCACATTGCTCTTTTGATCAGCAAAAAGAGGAGTTCCTACGATAGGAACTCCATGATAAGTTCCTTCCAAAATTCCATGAAGTCCACCATGACTAACAAAAGCACGGACATTGGGATGACCTAAAAAATAAAAACAAAATAGTAAAAATGTAAAATCAAATGAAAAAATTATTCTTAGCTTTAATTATATAATGAAATCTCAATCAAATTTCCTAAAAACTGCCTCTGATTATTCGTGATAATAAGCTGCTAATATGTAAGCCTTGGATACAGTGAACCAAGGTGCTGTTGTTTTTTAACTAAAATTTTTTGGTTTAATTATTGGTTAGCTAAATATTTATATGAATAATTTTAGAAATATTTTTAAAGACACATTACATACTATTAAAAGTTCTATATCATTTTATTAAAAGGTTTAAATATTTAAAAACATAATGTACTAGCTTTGTCCCCTTTCCTGCACGAGCACACACACACATATAATGTATAACAATAAACCACTTATTGTGGACTGTCAACTATTGTTATTAACTATAACTATAATTATGTGTGTTTGACAAGGGGATTATGGCAACACTAGTTTTTGGCTGGAGGATGCCAAGACAGAGTAGCTTGGGTGAGGATGCAAGTAATATGCATCCTACTTAATGTTATTACTTCAAATGTAATAAAGTAACCCCTGATTAGTGTTGCCCATATGCGAGACCGAGAAGAGTCTTGGTCTTGCAAACTCACTCTTGGTCATGGTCTTGGTCTTGCGCAAGAGTCTCGCAACAGTCTTGCAGTTTCTTATTAGCTTATTGCTATAGAAATATGACTGTAATTTTTTAGATAGAAGAAACTTAACTAAGCCCCAATGAAAAATTAGAGGAGTTAAATGCAAAAGTATATTGATTATAACAATTATTAACATATAGTAACTAAGATTGCCAAGTATTAGTAACTATTTTGTCTTAATTTTTATTCAGACCAGTCCTGGTCTTGGTCTTGCAACAGTTGGGCGGCCTTGGTCTTGGTCTTGTAAAGTGCAAGACCAAGACCAATTTTGCGCAACACTACTCCTGATCAATGTTTTATTGTATCGATGAACCCCAGCAAGAACATAGAAATACTCATAGGAGCAGACTTAGGAGGTTTGGAGTAATCGTTCCTGAATAGTAGTATAGAAAGAATATTTCAAAATATGCTACAATAATGACTTTATTTATTTCTTCAGTATATTGTTTAGAACTTAATACATCAATATGCCAATTTTGAAGAAGAAAAAAAAACTATTTTGTCATATTTGACTAGCTAAATTTTCGGTACTTTGCCCTACTAAAAATCTTAATTTATCCATGATAAAATCTCGTTCTATAGTGTAATATAGAGTATAAAATATAATTATTGTATTATTATAAATTATTATGAAATATAATATAATATTTTACTAAAGCCATGATAAGAATATATACACATAGTATTTTATTTTCATCCATTCAAATTCTAGAGCAATTTTAACCATTTAGGTATAAATTCAAAGACCTGTCAGAAATACGAAAATTCTGAATTTTTCATTATTCCACAACTTTAATTCTTTAAATAAGCTAATATTTATTTACATTCTTCCCTTACAAGTGGTGCATGAAGGAATTATAGATATATATTATAATATTATACATGATGATAATAAGCTGCACTGATCCCCATTTAGTATTAACCACAGCTAAGAGATAAGGCCATCTATATAAGGATAACACCTAACAATATGTTTATTATTTGGACAGAAACTTGAATAGCATCATATTTGTGCCCTAGAGCTATAAATGGTTCCTGGCAATATATATACATATATATATGGCCAAAAAAAGTATTCGTACATCTTATGTTTTGTCCAAAAATCTTTTTATTTACGTTTTCAACATAAAGTATTCATAGAAACTTCGTTTTGCATTAACTGTACAAAAATGTAAAATTTTATAACTCGTGTTGTATGAAAAATGTCAAAATTTTCAAATATGAGGCGCAAAAAAAATATTCTTACATTTGACTAACCCAAAGAAAATATAATAAATATCAATCTCAATTAATTTTAATATTTTGTAGGGTACCCTTTCAAGTTTATCACAGTATTGAGTCTCCTTGGCATCGGTTCCACAAGCCTCTAGGTCTCGGGTCATCTTTCTTCCCAAGATTTTTTTAAGATCGTTTATTAAATTATTCCGAGAGCAACAAGAATATTTTTGGATTTGTAATTCCAGTAGTGCCCATAAATTTTCAATTGGATTAAGATCCTGTGATTGTGGGGGTGTTCTGAGAATTTTTTGAATATTATGCAGCAACCATTGTTAGGTTTTATGACGGTGTGCTTGGGATAGTTGCCCTGCTGAAACATATATATATTCTCCATTCCTAAGTTTCACACACTTTTATCACACTTTTATTTCAACTGCGCCTCAAAACATTCACATATTTGTCAGCATTCATAATCCCGTCAATAAAGTCTAGTTCACCAACTCTTATGGCACCCAGGCAGCTCCAAACCATGACACTGCCCCTTCTGTGGGTTGTAGATTTGGGTTTCAAATTTAAAAACCAGTACACAAATTCATAATTATTTTAACAATTTATTTTCGATCGGGTTGCTGGACAATGTGGTGCTGTACAAACCTGTTATAGCCTGCTCCGCCATCCCTCTCCTTTTATAAGTAAATCTATGCTTCTTCTACATAAAACATTTTAATTGTAACAAAAATAATTACCTAGTATACTAGCTTGTGGTACCCACTTGGCCAGCCTTACATTATCAGGTTTTCCCGGCATGGTATCTTCATCTACTTTCATCAGTACTCTTTGTTTTAGCTTTCCGAATGCTGACATGAAAGCAGTGAGTTCGTGAGGCCTCATATTTTCTGTTTTGTAATGGGATCCCCAGCTGAAGTAAATTACTCCATCCACAGATTCATTTAAATATTTTTCCCATTCCTAAAACATATTAAGATTTATCAGATATTGGAAAATAAAACGGCAAATTGTCGTCATAGAATTTGTTTGTTTGTTTGTTTGTTGGGGTTTTAAGGCATAAAACATCAATGTCATTAATGCCTACATCTTCATAGAAGTAATATGATATATATCGATTTTCTCAGCTTTTTAGGATGCTAAGAAATATGATACGGAAGTAATAAGTAATAAATGTTACTAATAAGTAACTTTTTAATATATTAATTTTAATACATTATTTAATAATTTATTACTATATATATATATATATATATAATATATATTATATATAATATATTATATATATATATATATATATATATCTTACAATTGTATTCATTAAATTAATTTAAATTTAATTAAACTATGTGAAATTCCATTATTTCAACATATCCATTAATACAGCATTACTGTCTTCTAATATATACCTGGTTGTTTTGTAATTGTATTAATACAGATTCTGAATTCTTCTAAATAATTTACTTCTAAAAAAAAGTGTTATTAATGAAAGTTAGTTGAATCTCTTTACTTCATTGAGTTTATCTCCTCCTTTGATAGTCAGTCCACCAATCTCTACTATATTTGGAAGATATGGACGAGGGTAAGTTATTGCCATATGATTATCAAGTAGAACAAGTGAAAGATTTTTAAACATATTTAACATAGGCGGCAAATTTTCGAATCCAGGATATGGTGCAAAATGGCTTCTCATATAATACTCCTGGAATGGTAAAAATAGATTAATGACATGAATGAAATCTATTAATAAAATAAAATAAAGCTAATCACAGTTAATAAAAGGCTATTACCAAATACAGCCATAATGCATGGGATATAAGATAATCCAGTAGGTTGGCTAATGTACTTTTTGATCTTTCCCAAAAATTCAAGTGGTGAGATGATGGAAAGGCTGGAGAGGGCACATAAGCTGGATTGAGTGGATTTCCAGTTAGGCGAGATAAGGCCATGAATAAGTTTATTGTTTGGACAGAAACTTGAATAGCACTATATTTGTGCCCTAGAGCTATAAATGGTTCCTGGCAAAAAAATGTTTCAGTAATGACCATATCAAACTTGGAATCAGTATCATTCAAAAATGCTTTCATGGGTTCAGAATTAAATACACCATCAAGCAGAAATTTACAAAAAAGTCTGGGACCAAGCAGTCTAAAAAAAAATCCTTCTACAAGTCTTACATCATGCTTATCCTCTCCTGTAAATAAAGGAAAGGACTGGAAAACATCATTAAGGTAGAATATAAAATTTATTGTTATGCTAAATGGCTACTGTTAATGCAAAAGGTTGTTGTAAAAATTTGATTGTTTATAGAAGAGCATAAAAACTGATTATTTCTTTATGATTTATTAGTATAATTTCATATTTTATTTTCCTTTCCTATTTTACATAGTAACAGATTACTTATTGCAGTTGCAGACTAGAAAATGTCACCTTTAATACAAACAGAATGAACATGGAGATTGTTACATATGACCTTTAGCACTAACAGTAGTGAAATACAGATTAATATTTAATATAAATAAATAAAGACACTGGTAATTCTTTGTATAATATATACGGCTCAAAAATGAATAGCGATATTGTTAGCCATGTATGAGTTATTTTCCCTAGAGCTTTTAATTTATTTGTATCATAAAATACATTGCAAATTTATGAAATGGATGATTAAAATTGACCTTGGGAAAATTTATGAAAGATGTTTTAAAAAAATAATAAAATTAAAAGTTTATGTGATTTTGTTTTTATGATTGTGAATTATAAACACTGTAAAATTTAGTAATTTGTGTAATATCCTCTGTTAAGCACTACCTCTTTGCATCTATTGGGCATACTGTTTGTAATGTTGCTGATTTCATATAGAATTTCATACCATAAACATGGTAATACTGCTCTCAGTTGCTGAAGGTTAAGAAGCTGCAAATGATGGCCAAAACGCCTTCTCTGCAGTGCATCGAGACTGAAGAAAATATGGGAAGGAATAGATGTAAAATTTGCAGATTTTCAAGACATTGATGAACAACTTTCCCCCTCTAATGTCACATATTTCCGTAAAGAAAATGAAAATCTGTGCAATATTAATTGGATATTACATATCTTATTAATCATGGCCTTGGTTTGAATGAATCTACTCCTCTATAATTCAAGGAAGCACAAACTGTGCAGGTGATACGCTGTTGCTGCAGATCGTCTTTAAGGGGTATAAGATGTTAGGACTGCTTTTTTGTTATAAATACAAATAAAATTGTAAGTAATCAGAGATTTAATCATTTAATATTAATTTAAAATTAATAATTCATTCTATATTTTCATTACTATCTTTTTTTCTCTATAATAGAATTTTTTTAAGCAAACGGGAGTGTCTTTCTCTGCCTTCTCTCACCCACATGAGAGGTTCAGCACACTGAGTGTTAAAGAAGCACACTGAGTGACCATAAAATTTCAAGCTCAAATAAATTCACATAAGCATAATACAGCATTATTATAACAGGAATTATACTAACTCATGTGTTTCATAGTGTCCTCTATGACAATTTCCTTAAAGTTTGGAACAGGTTCGTTTAATTCAAACGGACTGACCATTGTTACATTGTGTCCTCTTTTTGCCAATTCGATGAATAGTGGCAAGTAAGATTTAGTGTGACTATACAATGGAAGCGGCATCACCACCAATATGTTGTGCCCATAGCAGTAGTTCATAATGGAGAATATTGCAATACAAATTGCACCTTTCATCTTGTAAACCTGAAATTACAAAAGTCGCAAACTTTAATAATAAAATTATGAATATAAACATTATAGTTGAAACAAATTTTAAAATATAGTCAAATTTTAATTCATTACTAAATATTTTGTTTTCAAACAAGAAATTCAAATAGGTCTTAAACTTATTTTAAATCTTATTTATTAAAATATTTCTTTTCAATGCAAGATAGTTAAGTTTAAAAAAAAACAATAATGATGGAATTTTCTCTTTTCCAATAATCACCTTAGACCTTGCATCGAACCTGGAGGTTCTGATTATTTGTTAAGTTTTTTATAATGTTTGCCCGATTAATAATACAAGTTCTTAACTTCAAGAGCCGAATGCCACATAGTTTAAGAAAAATAAAAAAAAACAAGAAAATTTTAAATTATACTATATTTTCTACAATTTGATACGAGAATCATCTCTGTTGACCCAACAGTTTATCTAATAAATTTTTCCAAAATTTATCAATTTTTTCGGACCCGGAAATTTTAGGCAATGTTTTGTTGTTCTGTGCGAATTTCAACTCTTTAGGCCTATTTTATTCGGAAATACTCATTAGAATATCACACCTACTTGAAATAATTTAAAAAAATATGGTATTTTAGAAGCAAATCTTCAGTTATTATGAGCTTTTTCTCATTAGAAACATCGAAACTGGAACTATTTATTCTTATTCATGCCTTAAGTGCAACACTCATAGGCACAGACTTTTGGATAAAAATAGAGAGAGGGCTAGATTATTTTTTCATTCCTCCTCTCCTCCTCACCTTCCCCCCCAATATTTCGAAGTATAAAAATAAAATAAACAATTAATCTATATAAATGCATAAAATATTTAAACTAAAATCAATTAAAAAATAGATAAAGTAGACTAGATGGCTAAGCTTGGACCTAGAAGTAGGTACACAAGTATTTTACTACATCCTATGTTCAAATTTTAGTTTATATTCAAAGTAAATTATATGTAGATATGTACCCTTATATTTTCATGTGAAAATTTTATTAAATTTCTCGGATCTAATTTGAATCCTCATAGAAATTGAAAGTACATCACTTGTACTCAAACCTTTAAATAACAATATATAATATATTCAATTGAAGAGATGGTAGGGGAGCAGCTTCTTCGATTTGACTTCAAAGTTAAACAGAAGTTGAGGATTAGTGAAAGAATGGTGTATCATTTATTCCCTACTTTCACAATGGTATTACTATATTTATATTCTTCGCTTATATCAAAACAGACTCAATCGATTTTGCCAGAAGCTGGAGAAAATTCCAAAACCAATTTTAACTAATTCCTCCCTTATTTTCATTCATGGATGCTCAAATATATTTTCCTTAATAGCCTTATATTTTAAACAAGTTTCATTTGATTTGGATCATAAATGAATTGACTGTGTAATGTTTCAACTGATTTATAGAAGGGGTCTATTACTGAAAGTACAGAAGCCATACCAGGATTTGTTTCTTATTTATGAAAAATATTAAAAGATTTATTTCAATATTATCCGAAGTGTCCAAAGCATCATACAGCTTTTCAATAGATTTTTAGTACTCCAGTATTTATTTTTAATATAGTAAAGAGTAATAGTTTAATTTTTAAAACTCTAACATTTCATAACAAGCCACGGTAACCATAGCCCCAAAGAGGCTTTCAGTAAGAATTACTGTTTATCTCAACAATATTACATTTTAGAGCTTTAGATCTTGGGGTCTAGTATAGTTCCAAAGGAAGGTTTAAAGAATATTAAAGATTTCTGCGTCATAATCTTTAAAACCCAATTATTTCATCACAATCAGTAGAATTTTGAAGTTACCTGATTTTTTAAACTTTCCAATTTTTTAATAAATTTTACTGAAGTTTTCAGTTGACAGAATGACTAACTCCAATTTAAATATTTTTTATTATTAATTTTAGTTATATTTCTTTTGAGAAAATGTATGCTTTTATTTATAGTTCTATATTTCAACACTGCAATCATCTATTCTGGGATCAACTTACACAATGTCTGTACAGATATTATAAATTTTCAAACTAGAAATATCACTAAAATGATTTTACTCAAACATGTTTAAATTGGTGTTAGTCATTCTATCAACTTAAAGGCTCATATATAGTGTAGATCCTTCTTCGACAGTTTTACACTGATTACCGTTAATGGTCATTAAAATAAGATAAAATTTAGACACCAAATATTTTAATGAATTATCTTTAAAGATATAAAAACAAATAAATAAACAGGAAGATGATTTGATATAGTCGAAAAACACGAAGGATTATTTTAATAAACAAATGTTTCAAGGACTATTAATCAGTTATCTATCACATGTCCCTGAAATGTAAATAAAACATTCGTGTCAATTGGTGGAGATGTGAGAAATTTGAGTTTTGTGATTTAAAAAAAAAAAAAAAAGAAATCATCCAGTTTAAGTAATCTTCAGTTCAAGATTTAATTTGGGGAGACTAAATTTTTGTATTGTTTTTTAAACATTTGTTGTCGAAAAATATTAGACACGTGTTCCGGCGTTCGTTAAAATGGGTCCTAGGAGCCAAGAAAAGATATTTTATATAATTTCAAACAAACTTTATGTTGTTTATTTTTGCCTTTGCTTTACTAGATCTTTTAGGTTACTATATTTATCAAGCAATTTCATTTTTTTTTTTTTTTTTGCAAAATAAGAAACAAAGATTGACTCAGATATTAAATGAGTTATAATGTACCATAAATTACAAAAACCAAAAGGCGCTTCCAGTAAAGTGAGCCAATCAAATTTTTGTCATGAAAAAGCAAGTTAGATTTGTTTTTAGGGTCCTTTGAAACTCTTAATTACGAGTTTTTATATAAATCAAAAATTGCAAAATTTATAACTTGATTTTATCAGAGAATTTTTTTTCCCCCGGCCGATAACTAAAGCATACCTAACTTATCAGGATTTTCTCCAAATTAACTCTGTTTCTCCTTAAAAAAAAAAAAATTGCTCTAGATTCCTGGCCAGTTTTGAATAAATATAGTTAGCAAATTGCTACAAGATAGCCACAATTTAGACCAACCGAACATAGAAGTGTGAGAGTAAATATTGAGGTGAAACAAAGTTACTATTCGTTTTTCACATCTTAAATACGAATTTTCATAACAATTGAAAAATTTAAATTTTCTGCACGAAATGTTTGCTTAAGCTGGATCCTTCGAATTTTCCTCAACGACTACAAAAATTCTTATAACTTCAGAACGATTCCACCAATCCACAAGAAAATTATCAGGGATTAAGAGTTCTATATGCTACACGAAATGACAGAAAACTGACCTCCTTAAACAATTTAGAACCAACAATATAAAATTAAAATAATTGATAGGGTTTTTTAATTTCTGGATTAAAAAGGAATGAAATCTTAAAATATCGTTATTGTGGGTTGGAAGAGTAGTGATTCAGCTTTCCCATGCGCATTAACCTTCAATTTGGAGACAATGTCGAGAGATTATGAATGATTTTGTTATCGACCGGGAAAAAAGTTGCTCTAAGAAAATCAAGTATTAAATTTAGAAATTTTTGATTTCTATAAAAATTCGTATTTAAGAACTTCAAAGGACACTAAAATCAAATCTATCTTGCTTTTTCATAATAAAATGTGACTGGAAGCGCCATTTGATTTTTGCAATTTATGATACATTTTAGCTCATTTAATACCAGAGTCAATATTTATTTCTTATTCTGCACAAAAAATGAAATCGATTGTTGTATAGTAAATACCTAAAAATCCGGACAAAGCAAAGTCAAAAATTAATAACGTAAATTTTGTTTGAAATTACATCATTTTTGGGGAGAGCTTGGTGGTCCATGGGAACGAACGCTGGGACACGTGTCTAATATTTTTCTATATAGTATCACCGAAAAAAAAATTGGAGAACTACTGACTATAGAATTCCCTTGTGAGTACATTTTTGATGGATCTGAATTATTATGAACGGTTTAGTGAATTGCGTCCTTATTTATCGATACAAAAAAACAAACAGTAAATGCACTAAAATGACAAAAACATTTTTTAATAAATATAATTAAAACAAGAGAAAAATTTTCGGATTTCGAAAAAAGAAAATTCATCAAAGTTTGTAGTGTTATAAAGGTATGAAATGTCACTTAATGAGTTTTGGCAATCATTGTTTTATTTTAATTCAATAATCAATCTTTTTTCTATCCATTTATGAAATTTACAACTGTATAAAAAACAAATATACATCTAGTAAATGTGATAAATGGTAATACAACGACATGAGAATACTCGTAGAGAAACCACCCATTGAAACCACTCTTATAAAATTTCTAAATTAGGAGATCACGAGGCCATCTTCTTTTCAGACGTCTCCGACGGTTATCAGGGATCGAAAAGGAATAATTATATATTTGGTTTATGTAATGTTATACCGCCTAATATAATGATATATTGTATAATTAATAGACGAATATACCGCCAAATATGTAAAACATGAATGGCCTTAGATATAATGTAATTACATATATTTCTTAAAAATAAATACAATTATCTAAATTGCATACAACAAAACTTAGTTATCACAAAAAGATAAAATATTCGATTATTTAATGAAACCATTTTCCCCATATAAATGCTCTATGCTATCTTTTTTATATTACCCAAATGTATTCACTAGCACCCATGATTACTTTAAACATACGATAATTCAACTTATTTTTAGATCGAACTGAGATAACACCTTTACTGTGTAACATATCATATTGTGTCAGAGCTTACCTGTGCTACAATTCACCGTAAGTCTCGACAATTCTACTTAATCTACACCAACTATTGTTTTAGCAGTCTGGCAAGATAACTTATCAGCAACTGTTATCTTCACTAGTCATTATATATAAATTATAATAAAAAAGGTAAAAACAATGCCAAAATGTGATGAATACCTTATTTTCTTATTTGAGGAGTGCTGATATCCATCTAGCTTACCGATGGCTAAGAAATGCTACTACCTCTTTACGGGCAAAAAAACAAAACAAATTTCATGTTTTTAATATAAAAAACTAAACTCAGTAGCAATCGTAGGGGAGGTCAAAATTTGATCCTCCGATTTGATTTCCGATTGGATCCTCCGAGGATCCAAGACAGATTAACTTCCAGTGTAAAAGATTTGACGAACGAAGAAGAATAACTGAAGAGAAGGATGGTTAGAGTTATCAATCAAAATAAAAATAGATAATTATCTTTATTTTTATATTTGCCGACGTTTTGGCCAAAAGTTCAGGCCTTCATCGGAAAAAACGCCGAAACGTCGGAAAATATACAAAATATATATAATTATTTTTGTTTTGACTGATCATCCCAATCATCCTTCTCTTCAATCATTCACTATAGTCAACCATCAACTCACAATTATGAAGAAGAATAACGTTAGGTTCACGAGCGATAGATGATGTTAATTTTCTGCGACCAATAAATAAAAAAAGGGTCCGAAGATTAGAATCTTTCTATCTTATTCCTATAGAAAAAAATTTTAAACGAAATAAAATTCCCTTAATAAGCTGATGCCTCTTATTTTCATTTAAATTTTATGTAACCATTAAGTTATTTGAGCTTAGGCTATATACATGGTGCATGTAGATTTTATCAGGCATCCTCCCTCTCCCTCCACAACCCTATCTTAAATCTGCTAATAGCCCATCATCCCATGTATAAACAGAAAAAGAGGAATAATAATAACAACAAAGGCTTAGCTATACCAAAAGTGCAATGCCCTTCCTACCAATCGCTGTCTGCATACTTCCATTCACTGGCCACCATCCAAACCTAACCCGGGAAGATCAGCCTTAACGCATTTTTAGAAAGCTTACCAGTGGGCACCGCGTACATTAACCTTTAATTGGTGGAAAGGGTGCCCTTCTCCCCCAAGGCTGATGGCGTATGAACCCCCTCCTTCCTCCCAAGATATTTTAATGCTTTCCTTTTCTGAAACCAGTGTAAGAAAGCGAAAGTAAAATTTAAAAAATCGTAGATCAAGTACAATTATATTTGCTACAGTTTGTTTTATGTTCTCCCCTTTTCCTCCGGTTCAAAACTTTTCATTCCAAAAATGCGCCCTCCTCAAAAATTTAAAAATCCCTCAAAATGTGCACATTTCAAGAACTTTGATGGCGCAACTTGCGCCATGAAACTCTCTTCTGGGCACCCCTGATTGGTGGATTGGATTGAAGCAAATCTACCATTTCAATTATATTCATCGGGTGTAAATCACGTAATTCGGCATCATATAACGGTCTAAATTCTGAGATTAACTCGTCCTTTTCGGTTCTTATTTTAAGCGATGCTTAATTTTTAAAAAAGCCCAAGGTGTTTTTCATACCTTAAAATAAGTTACTACGTTTCACTTCGTAAAGAACCGTTAAAAGTATCATCGTTTTTTCAATTTTTAAATTTCTGGATAGAAGATGGGAGCTATGTATTTTTGCACCAAAAAATAAATGCCATTTCTAGTATTTAGCCAAGTCTTAATTTGATCGTTAATATATTTTTTCTAATTATCGTCCACCTTAATACCTATACCTAAATTGAATCGTCCTCATTTCAGCAGCTAACCATATATTTTGTTATAACTGTATTAATTTCTAGCCCCAGTTCTTTACAGCCTTTCATTGACATTATTTAGTTTTTATAGTTTCCGAGTGGGGTACAAAGGTAGTGAGAGGAATAGAATAAAGATATTTTAAAAATTGAAAACAAAATTTTTCCATTAAAAGTTGAAATTTAAATTCAAATCGTGTTCTATGTTAATTGGCTTTAAAGTTTATTCCCAACTGTGGCGCCTCCCTGGCCCATGTAATGGCCCTTACAGGGTTTCTCATTTCTTAATGACCAAACTCTGAGTGAAGATTCTTGACAAAATTTCCAAGAAAAAAGTTCATTTAATGCATGAGCCAATTCCGAACGATAAAGGAGTTAAGATAAATTTTGTGTGGTCATGTTTTTATATTTAATATGAAGGAATTGCTCAAAAACTGTTCAAGATAATAAAATTCTAAGAACCAGATACATTTAAACAGTAGTTTACTTAGATAACATTCAATAAAATTTTGTTTTGTGTGAAAATAGTGTCTTAAACAATACTTATTAATAATTGTTACAATTACAGTAATCTTTAGTGTTTTTTATTTTTTTATTTCTGGAATAAATGTAGTTGGAAAAGCAGAAGTGTGTTGATAATAACATTTTTATTTATTTTTTTATTTAATGAAATTTACAACTGTATACAAATATAACTAGTAAATATGCACATATTATAAATAATGACATGTACAGGCTTGAAGAGATACTACCCAGTGGTAGCACTCCCTAAATAATTCTAAGTAAGAAGATCACGAGGCCATCTCCTTTTCAGACGCCTAGGAGGATTATCAGAAATCGAGGAAGAAGCAAGGGTGGAAACAAGGGGATTTGGATGGGACTGGAGTTTATCATGAAAGGATAGATATCTGGCTCAAGCTAAATCATCCACATATCGTACATTAAGGTCTTTATGAATGGTTTTATTTGTGACAAAGTATGGAGCATTAAGGATTTTACGGAGGATTTTGGATTGTAAGGATTGGATAGAATAGGAATTCGATGGTTTGGTGGAGCCCCAAAGCTCAACTCCGTGTGTAATCAATTGAAAGTTTAGAGCGTTTGTCTAGTAAGTGTTGAAGCAGTTGGAAATAACATTTTAAATATTATTTCATACATTTTGTCTGAAGAGAAATACAATTAACTTCTTAGTTTAGAACATGTTAATATATATTTAAGGTAAGTTCCTAAACTTAGAGCTGAGCTCATCAATAACATTATTTCACCCAGCTTCTAGATAGATTTGATGTAGGAACTGGCCCTCAATTATTTTCTAGTTTTGGGTATCCTATTACTTGATCAAACATAGTAAGCAGTAAAATTAATTTGTTTTTCAATTTTTCAGCTTTATTATAAATAACTTTATTATTTTGCTAATAGTAACCTTTATTTCTACAATTTCAACCAAATAGAACTTCACAGAATATGTAAATTTTAAATTACATCTAACTATTAATGTCAATAGAGTTTTATAAATAATATGTATAAAATATAAATATCTAAAATCAAGCACAATCACTTGTCATATTTTTTTTTCATTGACAAGAGACTTCATACCAAAGTTTTCATCAGTCTTTTTTACTTTTCGATTTCCTCGCTTTACATATACATTTTATACTTTTCTTTAACAATAATACGACCATAAAAGAAACTGCGCTCCAAACTACAATCACATCAAGAAGCAAATATTGGTACCAAGACAGTTCTACAGCAGCAGATCTCAGATGAGGAGCTCCTCTGTGCCGAAGTACGTATTCCACCCAGTAGACTGCGTTATCCATGACGTTCAGGGGTCTGTCTTTCATGATTTCACTTCTTCTAAGAGCGTTTTCTTTATAACTGTAAAAAGATACATATTTTATTCACTCTTCAATGATATATTCAGAATAACTAAAAATATATTTTTTGTATGCTGAGAAAAAATTGTTTCTGATAAACCATGTTTCTTATCGTGACAAAGCCAAATAATTTTGTACCACCAAAAACATAGTGGGTTAAGCCATGATTTGAAAAAAATTATAAGTAATTAATAATAATAATAGTTGGAATAAAACTAGTTACAGTAAAGGAGGATGGTGCTAATTAACATCTAATACAGAACCACAAAAAATATGTGATAATAAACCTATGTGAAAGGTTTACAATATGCTAATTTAAATGATATTCATGCTAATGAAATGCCAAAGAAAAACACACATCATGTTATAACTTTCATTAAATCTATGTATATGTATAAGTAAAGAATCACTTTTATAAACAATTTTACTAAAGCTTATTTAACACTTTGTGAATAGATCCCCACCAACAAATTATTTTTATTTTCACTTCAATTTCCAAAATTTTTGCATAAAAATTACTCCACTTTCAAAGAATGACAATTATATATTTTTCTTTTTATTTGTATTCCCTAATTAATTTCTTATTTTTATTATTTCTGATGACATTTAAATCATTATTATTTTACCTTATTTTGTTTATTGGTCACTAAATTTTTATTTATTTATGTTTTGTGTACCAAACTCATTAATATTATAAATGGTGCAATAATATTGCATTTTATTGTGATTAACAGTACCCATATTTTGAACATTATAAATACCACTAGCTGATTTCTGTAAATACACAATGGTATATAGAATAATTTCATAACTCACGATGAATTTGTCAGTATTTTGTTAATAGCATCCAAGAGGATTTCTTCAGTGACGGTTTTAAGATCAATATATATGCAATAACCAGCCTCTTCACAAAATCTTATATTATTCTTTTGATCAGCAAAAAGAGGAGTTCCTACGATAGGAACACCATGATAAGTTCCTTCTAAAACACCATGAAGTCCACCATGGCTGATGAAGGCACGGACATTGGGATGACCTAAAAAACAAAACACAAAATATTAAACATGGAAAATCAAATAAATAAATAAATAAAACAAATAATGGGAATATAAAAATATTTTCAGCTTTAAACATATTATACAATCTCGGTCAAATTCTCGAGAAATGCCTCCTCCGTTCTGGCTTGATTGATTTGTATATTAAGATTTTCCAGCCATAGAACAACTTTAATACAGGTTTCTTCAACCTGTCAAAGTACTAGTTAGGTTACTAAGCTCATACTGTTGCTTTAGATGGTGAAATCATCTGCATGTACGATCGTTCGATTATGTAGTTTTTTCCAACTACTTCTAATGGTAAGGAATCTAGTCTGATAAGTGGACCTTTTGTTCTTTTTGCCTACTGCTGATGGCTAGTTGTTGATGAACAGGACAGTGGTCTCAGAGTGGCAATAACCCCTGTTTTCAAGGTCTTTTGATAATTTAAATTTCTCAAAAAGTTTTTTAATGTGAGATATTGTTAACAAATATGTTTCAAATGTTATACCATGAGTGGAAATCCGGGTTACCAAGATTTTTAATGACGTATAAATGAAAAGCCTGTTTCTGCCACATTAATTTTACAACTTGTTAGATATCAGGAAATATATTTCAGATTTTTTTTTGAGTTCTGAATATATTTTTTTTTTTTAATTTGTCATTATTTAATATAAGTTATTACTCAACAAAGATTGTAATTTGTTATTTCCTTAGGATAAGCACCTTCCATCACCATATACCGAGATATTACTGGTGCTATTAATCAAAATGTTTTTTGAACTCTCAGCTAATGATACATCCAAAAATCAGCTTCAGGAACCTGTAGGTTTGGTAATTATTTGGCAAATTCAGTCAAGAAAGCTGTTTAAAAATGAGACAAGACACAAATTTTACCTACACATAAATAAATTAATAGCTAATATCATTTAATTCTCTCCAACATGGAAAATTTAATGAAAAATAGAAATAAATAATATGAAAGAAAAGGCAAAGGTAGATAAACAACTTTTATATTATGATATTAGTTATTAATTTATTTATGTGTAGGTAAAATTTGTATCTATTTAGGTATTTACTAGTTTTTGGGACGGTATCCTAACAGATTATGTTATGATATTTGTAGAATTTAAATTGACCCTCCTTATCAATTTATAAGTCAATTGTAATATAACTGATTTATAAGTGAACCTTTTTTTTCCCCTTCCCTTTCTTGCCTTTTAGGCTATACGGGGTTTTCCCAGGCCAGAAGGTGCCGGCAGGCAATTAATACGTTTTAAAAACCTCCCGGCAACAGGACACAAATTCGTAATTATTTTAATAATTCATCTTTCATCGGGTTCCGGACAATGTGGTGCTGTACACATCTGTTATAGCCTGCTCCGCCATCTCTTCCCCTTTATAAGTAAATCTATGATTCTTATATATAAAACCTTTTAACTGTAACAAAGATAGTTACCTAGTAAACTAGCTTGGGGTACCCACTTAGCCAGCCTTACGTTATCAGGTTTCCCTGGCAGGCTATCTTCGTCCACCTTCATAAGTACTTTTTGTTTTAGCTTTCCAAATGCTGACGTGAAAGCAGTGAGTTCGTGTGGTTTCATATTTTCTGTTTTGTAATGAGATCCCCAGCTAAAGTATATTACTCCATCTGTAGATTCATTTAAATATTTTTCCCATTCCTAAAACATTTAATGATATATAATATTGAAAAACAAATTGGTTTCTCAAGTTTTATGGAGAATAAGAAAACATATGTATGTTGTAAATTTTTGTAAAAACTAAATTTTGTTAAAAATTATAAGTATACAAGATTTATATTAATAAAAGTTCATCCTATTACTTCATCCAGTTTATCTCCTCCTTTGATAGTCAGCCCACCAATCTCAACTATATTAGGAAGATACGGACGGGGGTAAGTTATTGCCATATGATTGTCAAGTAGTACAAGAGAAAGATTCCTGAACATATCTAGCATAGGAGGCAAATTTTCAAATCCAGGGTATGATGCAAAATGGCTGCTCATATAATAGTCCTGAAATGATAAAAAAAAATTGGATTAATGTTATAAATAACAATAATAAAAAATGTAAAATAAAGCTATTTAAAGTAAATGAAAGGTAATTACCAAATAGAGCCATGTTGAATGGGATATAAGATAATCCAGCAGGTTGCCTAATGTACTTTTCGATCTTTCCCAGAAATTCATGTGAGGCGATGATGGAAAGACAGAAGAGGGCACATAAGCTGGATTGTATGGGTTTCCAGTTAGGCGAGATAAGGCCATAAATATGTTTACTGTTTGGACAGAAACTTGAATAGCACCATATTTGTGTCCTAGAGCTATAAATGGTTCCTGACAAAAAAAAGTTTCAGTAATAACCATGTCAAATTTGGAATCTTTATCATACAAAAATGTTTTCAACCCTTCAGATTTAAATACATTATCAAGCATAAATTTACAAAAAATTCTGGGGCCGAACAGTCTTAATAAAAATCCTTCCATATCTCGTACATCAAACTTCTCATTATCTCCTGAAAAAAAAAAAAGTACATTTATAAATATACACAGATACTTAGATAGATAGATATGTAAAAGGAATGGAAAACATCATTAAGAGGAAAAATAAAATTTATAATTATGTTAAATGTAAATTATTTTCATTGAACCAACTATTGTTAATTGTAATTTTTGTTTTGTTAATTTTTGTTAATTGTAAATTTTGATTAAGTTTTGAAGAATGTGTTTCAGAGTTTTGATTTTTGAGTGGGTACTGAGATGTTCACCAACCAGTATTATTAAATTTAATCCTCTACTTGTGCATGATCAAATGCAAGTTTTCCCTTTACAGTTTATTTTAACATAACTTGACTTGACTTGAATTTGGACAAATGTTAGGGATTAGTGAATAAATAGCCAAGTATCAATGTTATCAAATTTAATAAATATAATGTTTTTATTTATTTTATTGAAATTCATTGATATAAACTATTAAATCATTAAATTTGTTTTTTTAAAAACAAATTTGTTGTTTGATTTCGTTTTTCCTTATATACCCAATGGAAATAGTGAGAGAGCTATGCTGATCTCCTTGGAACACATTTTTGTTTTATTTTTTAATTACTAAAGGAATTTTTGAAACTGAACTTTTTTCTGTGTTAAAATAATAGGATCAATACATTACTTAACTTGAATTGATACATTTCTACAAATAGAATGGTTATACTATTAGACTTATGCAAAAAGTTTTATAGAAATTAAGGATTTGGCCAGGAACATAATAGAGACTGATAACAAAATTTAATAATTATTTCTTCAATTTAATTTTTTTTTACATAAATATATATTAAGTATTATTTAATTTTAAAAAATACCTTTGACCTTCTGACTGATGAATGCTGGAAATGGGTTTAATTTTAAGTTAGCTTGGTATAGCTAGTTGTTCTTTATAGTATTTTCTTACTTATTTATTTATGACGCTACGGTCCTGTAAGAATCTGGGCCTCTCTTATTATCCTTCGCCACTCTCCTCTATTCTCCATCTTCAAATTCCCATCCTTTTCAGGCTGTCCTCCACCTGGTCCAGCTATCTCAGGTGTGGTCTTCCCCTGCCGATCCTCTAGCAAGCATTTGGGAATCGTATCTCTAGGCATACGTGCCACATGGCCCAACCATCTGATCTGGTTTCCCCTCACAATTGAGACCAAATCCGGCTTTGCATACATTTCCTACAGTTCCTTATTAGTGCAAATTCTCCATTGTCCCTGTTCGCACACCGGGCCATAGATTCTGCGGATAACCCTTCTCTCCCATGCGAGTAGCCTTTTTTCCAATGCTGTAGAGATCACCCAAGTCTCAGAGATAACTTTCATACTTTTCTTTTTTTGCACTTTTCTTACTTACCTTTGTTTATTTAATTTGTGCTTGAATTTTGTCATTAATTATCTCTTTTATTTTGTTCTATATACTACTCGTATTTATTTATACTATATTTACAGTCAGAGAGATCTGAGTCTGGCCTTTTGGAAAAGACAAAGCTCTAAGAGATCTCAGTTCTTCCCTCAGCCATGTTACCATTATGGAAACCCTTTATTAAAACTAATATTGAATAAATATATAGCTATATTATATTTTTAAAATATAAAATGCACTATATGTAGTGGGCCTAATAATAGTTGACCCAGTATCTGTAAGAATTATTTAATAAATCCCCTACCATATGGTTACCATAGAAATGGTGGGAAAAAAAATCAGAAATAATATTAAGAAAAAAATAAATTATTCTATCTATCTTTCCATTATTGTATATTCAGTTATTGTATATTCAATTATTGTATATCTTTCCATTATTGTATATTTTTTTTATAGTAAAATTATTTAAAGCGAAGCTAATTTTCTCTTTTAAAAATGCACAGTGATTCATCTCTATGAGAAAATGCACACACAAGAGCAAAAAACATACAAAAAAGTTTCTCACTGATATTATATGAGTGGCCATAGACTTTCTATCTCACATAAATTAATAAGTGTATGATTTCATTATTATAATAGAAATTATATACTAACTCATTTCTTTCATAATGTCCTCTATGATGACTTCATTAAAATTCGGAACAGGATCTTTTAATGGGAATGGGCTGACCATTGTTACATTATGTCCTCTATTTGCTAATTCGATAAATAGTGGCAAGTAAGATTTGGTGTGACTATACAATGGAAAAGGCATCATCACCAATATGTTGTATCCATAGCAGTTGTTCACAATGGAGAATATTAAGACAAAAATTACACTTTTCATCTTGAAAACCTGAAATTACAAAATTCACAACAAACTTTAATAATAAATTTATAACTCAATGTAAACTTTAATAATAAATTTATAACTCAATGTAAACTTTAATAATAAATTTATAACTCAATGTAAATTTTAATAATAACTTTATAACTCAATGTAAACTTTAATAATAAATTTATAACTCAATGTAAACTTTAATAATAAATTTATAACTCAATGTAAACTTTAATAATAAATTTATAACTCAATGTAAACTTTAATAATAAATTTATAGCTCAATGTAAACTTTAATAATAAATTTATAACTCAATGTAAACTTTAATAATAAATTTATAACTCAATGTAAACTTTAATAATAAATTTATAACTCAATATAATGTCCCTAGTTTTAGATACTTATTTGTATGTCTTATTCCCACAAGAGAGATGAAATTAAAGTTGCTATGTTTTGGGGTGTTTAAATTTATTCGGGATGCCACTGGACAATTATACAGAATTATTTAATAAAAATTAATTATAAAAATTAGTAAAATAAATTTGTTCCAAGATTAATTAATTGGATTTCTTTTCTCAAAGGCTGGTTTGTGTTTATTATGCTCTCTAATTACACACATTACCTGTGATCATCTTGATATAAATAGGTGCAGAGTTAAAATAACCTTTACTAAAAAAAAATTAATTTTATTTCTATGTGTAATAAAGAATTATATATACAAATTATATTTACAAGGAACTAAATACATGATTAAATGAATTTAATGATTAACTGTGATATTATTAAGGTATGATTTCAGATGGACTGTTTTGAGAATTATATTGCCATGAAATATTATAACATTGGTAAATTTATTGTTGGGAATAAAACTTTTCTATTGTATATGAAGTGGTGTAGTTGGTAGATGTCATCGCTGCATCTGCGAAGTTGAGATCACCTCGTCATGGTTCAAAAATCTGCCAGGATCATCATGGTCTATGTATTGTCAAGGCTTCAGTCCCCAAGCCAGAAGAAAACAAGAGACCCATCCTCAGGGCTGGACATCATCATAAGACCTCTTCTCCAAGCTGGATCTCCATATCAGACCTCTCCTCTGCCCCGGATCTGCACATCAGACCTTTTGTCTTCCTTCTCAGTAGATTTTATAGAAATATTCAGAATGGGACAAGAATAGTTCTCATTGGTTGAATTTTAATAGCATAAGGGATGACCACGCCTCCAGGCCATACAGATGTTTCCTCTTTCTCGAAAGTGTGGGTCTTTGTAGGTGTTTTTGCCGACCTCTGTCCTTAATTGTTTTATTGGCCCTCACAAAAGGTTGCATTCCTTAGGGGGTCTTTACTCTCCCTCAGGTAACCGGACATGTGTTAGCAATTATTATTTAGACTATACTTATTCATTTGAAATAATTAAATAAATTCCAAATGTGGTACTTACTTACAATACATAGCATTATAGATTGAGTTGTTTTTTTTTTTTCATTTTTCGTTGTTATTAGCTGCTGATTTTACAATTATTGGACCTTTTCAGATGACACTTCATATGAAAAGTCTTAGCTAACCAAAATATTATGAATGTGATTTTTCAATTAAATTTAAAATCAAATGTACCTAAGGCATAAAAATCGATCCTATACTTTAAAAGTGATTTGGTCCAAAGTTGGAGAAAACGTAGAAATTTGGGGGAAAATAATATACCTATACCTACACCAATTTTATAAAATTGGAGTTGGAGAGAACTTAGATATTTGGAAAAATTATCATTTCACTTAGATTTCTTCAAAGATATCCACTTTATTCGAATCTTATAGCGCAACAAATTTTTTATGTAAAATTTGTCATTTTATTTTACATATATTCCAACTTAAATTAGTTTAGTTCTGACTGAGGGAAAATATTGGTTAACTCCGAAAAAAAACAAAAAGTTTAATTTTGCCAATGGATTTTTTGTTCTATCCATTTCACTAGTGAAAACATACGTATTAAGTATATATCGCTACTATTAGTTCAAAAGGTCCTATGTAACCATTTTCCATTTTTATTCTATTGGTGCTAAAGGTGACATTTCTTGATATGCAGCTGATTAAATTATACTAATAAATCATAAAGAAATAATAATCAGTTTTTATGTTCTTCGGTAAAACACTCGATTTTTACATAAGACCTTTTGCACTAACAGTAGCGATTTACATTTTCAGTATGTACTGGGTTTTTTTTTTTGTTGTTTTTTTTTTGTCTCGATTCATCAAATACGCGATTTGTAAATGTGGAACTCTTCCGCATTTTAGTATTGGCTGTCAAACAAAATTGGTGGATACTAAACCCGCGAATCGTAACGAGTTACTGTATTTCTGAAAACGACTTCTCCAGTAGATTTTATTCTTATAATAAAAATTTTAGACTTTTTAATATAGATATTGTTTATCTAATGAAAACTTACTGGACAACAACGGCTATAGTATGCTCTAGTAAAAGAGCCTTTTAAAATACTCGCAATTTAAGACGGCATGAGAACGCAACCTTAAGATAGCTTTAAAATGAAATATCGTTTCAGAAAAAAGCTAAAGCTCCTACGTAATATATTTCATAATATTATTCAAATTGGACTTTTGGAAATAAAAAAAATCTAATTAAAACGGCCAGGAAGTTCTATTGGCTTTACTTGGCAGACATTTTTATATTATATTTTGAAGAATGATAGTGTGACACTGGGGTGCCCATACCAACCATGGTCGATGAAGCATAAAATTATTCCCTTCCCTCTCATTCTATTTTATTGCTCTCCTTTTCTTAAAAACGGTACAAGCAAAAGTAGATTTTAAATTGTTAAAAGTAATATACGAATAGTTTTGGCCCGTGTAGTTTTCAGAGGGCTGAAGAATTCACTTATCTTGGAACCCAGATGAACTCCAGAAATGGTATCAATCCAGAAATCAATCGGCGAACAATGGCTGCAAATATGTGCTACTACGGTCTTCAGAAACACCTTAAAAGCCAAGACATCTCAAGGAGTACTAAGATGCGTCTGTATAAAACACTTATCAGACCTGTGCTGATCAATGGATCTGAATGCTGGATCCAAAAAATAAAGAGCAGGCTCTTGCAAGAGCTTGTAAGACTGAAGGCAATGAAGCAATACAGAACTGATGGCACTTAACAATGACTTTGATGTCACCACATTCATCAAGACAAGTCGACTACGGTGAGCCGGTCGCGTGGCGAGAATGGCCGATGATCAAACCCCGAGGAAGATGCTGGATGAATGGATGTGTGGACGAAGACGGGTCGGCAGACCGTAGCTGCGCTGCACAATGGAACGAAAGCATCTTCATCTTTAGCAATAAAAATACAGCGTCGTATGAAGAACATTTGCAACATATACATTTCAATTTGTAAACATGAAGAATGATCTATCGCATCACAATTTAGACTACATTAATTTCTGGACCTTAGGTAGGTGATCTCGCTTTCTTAACTAAAGAAGTATTCTTTTATACTAATTAATTTCTTATTCGACTATATTAATATTTTTTTTTAAATTGTATCCATAACCAAAGCTAATGCTTCTTCGTTTGAGCAAAACTGTCTGAAAGCTAGATTTCACTGATGGTGTGGCAGATGAAGCTCAGTCTAGCTTTGCATACGGAACTGGAGAGGAGCAGTACAACAGAGAGACAACTGACGGTCGTTGTTACGTGCGGCCTTGCTCCCTCGCGGAGTGCAGCACCAATAAAGAAGAAGATGAAAAGTCATATACAATGACACTTGCAACGGTCTATTCCATTTATTCTCCTTGTCCACTATTATGACACTTTTCATGTCGAAAATTCATGACCCAGTCAAAATGTGTCCCCTCAAAAATTCAATACCCTGTCAAAATGTGACCTACTCAAATATTTTGATGACGTAACTTGAGCTACGAAATCCCATTCTGGATATGGCAATGGGCAAAAACATGAGCAGAAACGTCGCTGTATAGTGGAGATAAAAGGGACAGGAATTCGAAGAGTGATGAAATACTTGAACACACTCTCCTTAATTATGAAATACCCCCTAAGATAACTAAGGGAGATAAGAAAACCATTCATTTTACGATGACTAATACGAAATCAACATATTTTAATGCATTATCTCTAAAGTGACAAAAATAAATAAATAAATAGGAACAAGATTTGATATAATCGAAGAGCATAAAGATATAATATTGTAACGAGTAAATGTTTCAAGGTCCCTTTATCAGTTATTAAACACATGTCCCTGAAATGTAAACAAAACACTCATATCAATTGGCGAGGTAGCTGATGAAAAAAATTGATCGTTTTAGTAAGTGTAGTACTTCGAAGCCATGTTTAAACTATACCTTTCCTTTAGTTTTACATTTTAATACTATTCGGTTTGATGGCTATTCATTTTTTTGTAAAAATAATGATAAAATTACAATTATTCATGTTGTATAATTTATATATTATCCATTACTGTTTATACAAAAGTAAATTTTAGGTATATCCCTAAGTATTTGTTAATATAATTTTCGAACCTAATTAATCTTTTACTTTTCGACCATTACTAGATAAAGAAAGTATTGCAACTGGATCAAACTTCCGATGTGCAATTTTTGACGGATCTTGACGTTTTACATTCACCAAAATCCGAAAAACACATTTTCAGCAGTTGGTTTGTCTATATTGATCTGGAGAACAAATGGAACGATTTGTTTTTTCTGTTTTTGTTTTGTAGGGTTTTGACTACTGATGCCAATAAAACAAATCCGGCAATAAGAGACACATTGTCTATAGACTGTAGCGCGAAAATGGCTCACATAATTTTGATGAAACTTTCCTATAACTTCTATTTAAAGACCTTTCTAGTTTTTTACATGCGGTGAATTCCTGAGAAAATTTAAGAAAAAAAAAGATATAAAGAAACGAAAAATGTGTTGGTGCCTAACTCAAAGTATACATTATATGGTAAAATTCATATGTGTTTTTTGAAAGGTAATAAAATTTACT